ACCGGTTAAGGCAGCAACAGACGACGCTTTGTATGGCGCCCGCGGTATACAGCCGTCGTGTACCAGCGCGATTCACCTGCGCTTATTGTGAGAGTGTCGGTTAGTATTTCGGGCCAGAAGATGTGACGTGGTTTGTGTGTCGTGCAAGTGTACTGGACCCTGGTGGGACGTCAGCTGCCCCAGCTTGACGTGTCAGACGTGTTAAGGTCCGGTGCAACACACTTGGTTGAGCTGCCCCTCGATGCTGGTGTGGCCTCTGTGTGGTCGGTGGCAGGATGAGCGACGGATTTGATCAGATCGGTCAGCGGCGGAATGGCCGCACCCTGGTACTGGCAGCGCGCTGCGTCGGTGTGTCAGTGCGTGCTCCGTTCCCCAGACGACAGAGCAGATGCTGCGCGAGATGACGGGCCCGGGCGTCTGGGAGCGCTGGCTGCACTGGCGCTCCGCTACCAGCGAGCACGTCCGGAGGGCGGCCGTCCGCACCGAGCTCGATAAGGCTCTGCACGCCGACTACGTAAGCCACACACACAGATAACGCTACAACTGCATTGGCAAAAGAAATCGAGCAGTATGGGTTTAACATTGGGCAGGCAGCTTAGAGTGTGAAGATCGCGGCGCATTTATGTGCTGTTGTGCGGGTTTTTCCAGTGACGGTGCTTTTAAATCGGCTGATAATGTGCTGTTCATGTCATTGATTCACTGAGACTACGATGTTTGTATCGTCTGCCCCAGGAGCACCCGCCCCAGCTGGGCTACGACGAGATCATGGCCATCCGCAACAATGTCAAGACGAGTTCAGGCCTGGAGGTGGACAACGAGCTGATTCGGGACACGTGGCGGCCCGTCTACCGGCGCTTCTTCCTGCGCAAGGCCCTGGCGCGCGCCTACGACTGTCGCAAGGCGTTCTGGCTCTACCACCAGGACGTGGCTGAGCAGGAGTGCGACTGCAATGACGTAGTGCTCTTCTGGCGGATCCAGCAGATGATGCGCACCACGGCCAACACGCTCCGTCAGCAGATCATCAATCGCGAGGCGCGCCGGCTGGAGAAGCGGATCAAGGAGGTGAGTGGGGGGCGAGCACCGCCTGTCGGGGTCAGTGTGCCGGAGTGCAACATGCAGTTGGGGAAATACCGCCTGTCGACGGGCCAGTGTACCTGAGCGTATCATACAGTGAGGGGACACCGCCTGTCGGGGGGTCAGTGTACCCGAGTGTATCATACAGTGGAGGAGACACCGCCTGTCGAAGGGTCAGTGTACGTGGGTGTAGAGCGGTTGAATAGCATTTAGAGCAGCTGTATATGTAGGTGGCGCGCCTGAAATTTATCCTCGCGTGTAGGATTAAGGCTCCTAAGTTTGCGCGATCCATTCCAGGTGCTGGAGGACTGGAGTCTGGACGCCGAGAAGAAGCGCACGCTGCTGACCGGCCGTCGGGTCAGCCTTGCCGAAGAGCTGAAGCGGGTCCGCCAGGTGCAGGAGCGGCTCGAGGAGTTCATCAATGCTCTGCAGGACGAAAAGTGACGGTGAACCGTGCCGACCCACTCCAGAACCAAACGTGCGTGAGATATCGACGCACTTTAGAGCAACAAGGGTTGTTAGGAGTATGCCACGCGGCGTGCTCAAGGACGAAACTGAACTTTGCGAGAGTGCATGAATGAGCATGAGCTATGCGTGGGGTTTTGCATCCCTGGAACAAAACCGGAACTGCAATATGATCGCCATCATGACCCGTTGTTAGTGGCGAAGGGCGGCAGAAACCCTCGAGTTGTTCAGCCGGCACGTAAGCCAGCTTGCCTCGGGATAATTCTGCGAAAGGCATCGAGTTGGAAGCAGGCACTGTGATCTGTCCAGCCTGCGTGCCTGACGTGCCGCCACATGGTGCCCGTGTTGGCCGGTAGCGTGCGTCTAGCGCCAGTGAAGTCCGTTTGCTGTGAATCCCGTCGTCCAGGGCTCTCCGGAGACTTTGGACTTTACCAGGGGCGGAGAGCGTGGCCGTCGATTGTTGCGTTGGGCATACTGAGCGGTTGAGAAGGGGCAGGACGCATTGAATGCATCCGTGGATTACCTGGCGACGACGTGCTAGGGCAAGTCTATGACGTCACGGCCGATTGCGTGAGACGGCGCGCAGCCGGTTCCGATTGGTGAGTCTTGCAGCCCGGCGCTGAAGGCTTTGCGATGTTTGTACTGTTTTGTTACCGACCAGCCGGAGAGAGACGAGGGGTAGCTCATCTGAGCGCGTATCATCATCTGGTCAACAGGGACAGCTCGTCTAAGGGCGTACTCCTGTAAGCAGACGACTTGTAGGGTGCTCTGAAGCTTTAGTGGTGCCGCGGTCCGCGCAGGCGATTTCATGTCTTCAGTCAATAAATCCTGTGATCGTGCCGTGTTGTGGCATCATTGCAAAGTGCTGGAAGCCAAAAGAAGTATAGCCAGGAAGACTGTCTGTGCATCTATTGCGTCAATCCGTTCAGGGGCGCTTGTCGCTGCAAGGTTGTTTATTTCGCGTCGACGGGTAGTGCGCTATGCCCGTCTTTCCTGGGTGGGGTCGGTGCAAAGCACGGGTTTTCCATCACGCTGCTGGCAGACAAGGATCAGCCCGTTTGCCGCCTGCACAGTGGGCGGGTTAGACTGTTAACCGAGGTAGGTCTGTTAGACTGTATTAGACCGAGGTAGGCCTGCCGATCCAAAGCCGTGAGTGAGCCTGCCCGGCGCGGCTACGTTGCAGCTGTCACTTTGTTACAACAGCGAGTCGCGTTTCTCTATACGTGGTCGTGTGACTAAGAACTTAATGTCCATGCTTTGTCCGACGCTCACATTGCTCCAATATTGTTCGTTATTGCACAACGGGACCGTATTAGATACGACGACCATGGGTCCATCCGCAGCTGTCTCCACAAATGTATCAGATTAAAGCCATTACCTTATTCGCCGATGTCCAATCCATCCGAGTCCATACGCAGTCGTTCCGCAATACGCCGTCCTGGCGTGGGACTGCGAAGCGCGTGCAGATCTCCGCAACCGCGGTGGTCGGTGCTAGGCTTCAGCCGGAATACCGAACATAATTCGGGTGTTTATGATACTGGCTAGAACCGCGTGTGTTGCTCCGCATGGTGTGGCACTTACTGTCCGTACTACAATTTATGTCATTTGTTGTCCTAGGAGCAATACGAAAAGTAAAACTGGCCCGACTAGCGCGGCAGCTGGACAATACCCTGGTACATTGCTACTAACGTTGGTGGGGATAGTCACGCAAGCATTGGCTAGCGCAAGCTCGGGTCTCAGAAATCTATCCATCCAAAAGGGTTCGGATTAAATCTCTACAAAGGTGCAGGGTGGGGGTCAGGTTTGTTTTAGCGGCATCCTTGTCTTAGCCCCAGAACATATTGCATAAGACAATACTTCTAGGCTTGTTCCTGGTCGAATAGCCAGGAAAAACGAGGGACAGATATATCAATAGATCAGCAACATGCCTTTATCAAAGCCATTGAGTAGTTCATCACGGGATCATGTACGGTACACACGGTATTGTACTACAGAATTACGGTGTTGCATATGGTATATCCGATACAGTATTAAACGACAATGGAACGGAGCCGGAATAATAATGCAACTAACTATTTTCGTCCTGGCAGTTTGACGAAGAATAGGGATAAAGGTACTGTCGGACGTAAATGAGCAATGCTCCTCATAAATGCACTTGACAACTGACGTCCCAGAATACCCGTGATATTTGTTGCCAATAACTGACAATTTCGACGAGATTGAAGTTCAGATCACTGCTAGAGAATAAATATGATGCATCGACTCTAGAAAACTCTTGCTTCTTCCTTTTCTTCATTGGACTACAAAAGCCTCACATATTTCAATTAACACCGCAGATGATTATATCCACAGCCCGCGATAAAAAGCCCAGGTAACACAGTAAGAGCCTTCCACGACCGCCGTGCAGCTACTGCCAAGTAGTCGCAGAGATCATCGATGCCACTGCCCAGAGATCAAAGTTTAGAGTTCTTCATTACGCTCGCTGCCAAGAGCGTGCTGACGCGGCGAAGTTTGCGTGTACAAACAAAACGCTGTCCATGTACACGCACGGTGGTTTAACTGGGTAGATCTTTACCCCCTATCGCCCATCGGCACAGATGGGGCAAGTTCGGCTACGGTATTCCGCTACCGGGTAATATCTAAACCAATAGGTTGCGGTTTGCCAGGTATTGGTACAGCATCTGGAACCCTGGATCTCGCGTAGGCTGGATGTTGTGAGTGCTGGGTGTTATGAACCTCAGGTGCTACGGTTTTGGATGCTGCGCGCTTGAATGCCAGTGATTTCCCTCTGCCCAGGGACATTGGTCGATTTTTGGATGTCATGAACGCTGAATACCGCGATTCTGGACGTTGTGACCACCGCCTATGAATTCTGGATGTTTCAATACGCATTGGCCACTGCATCCTTGAAGCAGGTCACATCATAGATCAGCCACGACATGAAATGAGCAAATATGTCCATTCTCTTCCTCGACTTGTCAGTGCTGCGAGATGACTTTGCAACGAAACGATCCATCGCCACGCAGCCGTACTGAACGCAAGTGACCAACTCAGGACATTTAGAGCCTGAACAACGCTCGCCGCCGCTTCTGTCGACATGCCGCGAGGCGTGTGGCTGCATTACAATCATGAGCGAAAAGCAAGTTCGTTGTTCTGAAATACATTTCATGTTTTATTCCAACTGCATTCGGGACTGCATGAGATTCCCACTCCTGTAAGAAAACAAGAGAACAGGCGTTTCGTATCACAACAAAGTGATAGTAACCTCAGTACTATCTCAAGCGGCAAAGATGACACACTTCATTGGACAGTATTAAAAAAGAATGTCAGTCATCGCGAATACATCTCGCAGTTCAAGCAGCTGCCTTTGCCGTGCACTCAATTCTGTCACCTCCATACCGTACCCCCCCCCCCCCCAGTCACTCAATAAAATCGGTACGATACATCTGCATTATCCCACCCACGTACCACAGATCTCGCGCCGATGTGGACTGCTTCCCCAAGTCGCAAATCGCGTGCGACCGAAGTCCTGGAGTGGTATTCACCAGAGGTGAAATCAGCACATGCTTGACGCCCGTCAGATGTCACGACCAACCCAGATCCCCCTTAACCCGTCCACCATTTCTGCCCCGCGCTCATATCCGTCCCCGCGGCTTAGTGTGCGTGTCGAACAGCTTGCGCACAAAGAACACCTGCAGGCAACCGGTGGCGACGACCACCACCACCTGGATCAGTGACCAGCGCATGACGTAGGCGTTGTTGGAGATGAGCAGCTCCCAGTCGCTGGCCGCGCGGGACCTGGAATGGCTCAGGTACTGCTTGGAGATCTGCACCTTGTGGTCCACTAAGCCCAGACCGTTCTGTAAACAGCGTGGGCGAGGGATGCGGTCAAGGTGTACACAGATCATGTCAACTTGGGGAAGTTTTGAGGCTAAAAGAAACAAGGACAGGCAACAACGTTGTCGGGTTAAAATATAGCCATGGCATAAGCGTGACCTTGAACAATTTCGCTAATAAGGGCGCAAGGTGAAGCCTCCTGTGCAGAATGACGAGCATCTATAATGACACTTATCTGGTAATTACACAAGCAAGTTATACCCAGAGCAAACATAAAGTAATTTCGGATAAGATGAGGCCAATATAATACGGACGGGCAAAAGCAAAATGCACTCGAAATGCCCGATGAGTTTATCACATGAAGAAACAAGATTAATTCATCACTAAGGTATCGAAAGCTAACTGCAGAAAGCACGAACTCAACACAGGCCTGACACCATAAGAGCGCAACGGCATGTCCTACGTTAGTGGAAAAAATGTTAGTGTTCTGTGAAGCCCTCTTATGGCGCGGCTTACCGTAAAATTGGTAGCGACGATGTCATACTGCTCCAGTTCCTCAGAGTGTTTCTCCCATTCATCGTACCTGTAATCAAAACAAGCTATTTTTACCAAATTTCAGGTCCCAACGTCGGGAAACGCGTTACGGCCAGGTAAGAGGCCATGCCAGAGAAAGTTGCAATCACAAGGAAACTTCTGGAAGCACGAAACTCTTAGAACACTTTTAGTCGTAGATGTGGGCGTCGAAAAATGCCGACCGCCATAGATGAGTTTTTGCAGGTGCTACTTATTTCCGCTCTGTGAGTTAATTTGTAGTCCACATTCCAACTGCGGACCACATTCATTCCCGGTAGGCCAAGGTCGGGGTGCGAATCTGGTGAAATGGACATAGTGCTTGAGGTAGAAGCACACCTTTTGCACCCACACTTACGATAACCACGCTGATTTCTTCACACGCACCTGAAAGTGGTCAGATACATGTTGACCAGCTTGCCGGCGAAGCGGGAGAACTGGTTGTCGATGCAGGAGGTGAAGTATCCGCCAGTCTCGGACGTGGTCTCATACTCGGACTGCTTCTTCCACTGGTATGGATGCACCAGCTGACCGGTCGGATCCCGGACGGCGAACCCAGTCATGCCGTCTCCCCCACGCAACGTCTGGCGACACAAAACAGGAGGTCATGGAGAACCCCCAGTCACGCGGCACACAGAGTGCATTAGCACCGTGTGTGACGACCTGTAGAAAACCTGGTCATGGACGATTTAGGGAACAGACGACCCAAAACTCATCACAACAGCGTCTGAAGAGCGCCTGGGGGCCACGGAGGGATGCGAGCGGGCGTCGTGAGGGTCCTCGGAGTCTAGGGTACACGGCGCACGGTCGCACGGGACTCCGCTCGAAAAACGCATCGGCATGCTAAAAAACATGGGGACACAAAATGTTTCGGGGGGGGGGGGACACAAAAGGGGGCGGGCACCGCGGAAATCGAATCCAGTGCCTCTGGTCTCCCAGGCATGCGGTGGCTAACGAATATGCGTTAACTCCTCTACAATCGGCACCCTTAGGTCTCCAACCATCCTGTTCATCTGTATGAAAAGCAGCTTCATCAACTCGAGCGTACCCCTAGGAGGGCTTTCAGCCTAGCGTCTTGGGGGGACGGTACCTCCGCAAACGCAAATGCTACAAACATGAGACCCAATAGCAGCAGCGGCAAGCTGTCAGGGAGACGATGTTAATTAAAATACGCTTTGTGATCGAAGGTCAAGGTCAAGGTCGCCAGACGTCAAGAGGTTTGATATCGAAGCTCAACGGAAATTGTTATTTAAAGGGAGCCCAGCCGGCCATCGAAATGCTTCGCTCGGTAGGCTGGACAAAATCACATTTTTTGGGGTGTCGTACGGAAACAAAAAAATACAGAATAGACTGCGTCGCTGGCAGTCCTTAAAGGCAGTAATAAGTCAGACTGGGTTAAGGTCAAACCGAGACAAAGAAACAGACAATTTTGGGGGAGAATTTTTAAGTGATTTTGTTCTAAACGTGTTGAATGCATGTATCGCATAAGACACTTCTATACGTGCCATTAACAACGGTCACCAACACTTCATGGCCGATTATGCAAAGGTCATTAGTGCCTTGATGTGTGATGCGTGCTACACTGAAATCGTTTGATGTACGGGTGATGCTTGACGCGTGATGCGCGATGCCTGCTAAATTGAAAGCGTTTGCGTGGATAACTGGTGCGTGATGCGCGATTCCTATTTGCTTGAAATCGCTCGCATGCATAAATGATGCGTGATGCGTGATGCCTGTTCACCTGAATTCGTTTGCATGTACACGTATTTTTCGTGAATTTTAATTATTGATTGGACATACACTGTATGATAGTGATGACTGACAATTGTTCATTGTTTATTCCGTGAATGTTGGTGAACTGTAAAAACTACTGCTCGCTGTTAAGAAAAAACCTGAAAAAATCGTCTTGGATCGGCAGGAAATTTTGCGTTTACTACTGATATTCGTATTGATAAAAGCGTACAGCCGAAATATCAACGCATATATCTCTCCAATCTCCTGATGATTCCGCCAGGAATACGGCTATTAGTGATGTCCTTGTATACATAAGGTTTTTTTTGCCAATGCATTAAGCGACTAGCAGTGAGCTCCGCTAAAACTTCCTGCATTCTGTGCGCCCTCTTATCGTACGCGCTACCAACTATTCTTCACTCGAAGTATGTGGGCCTCTGGCATCTCTCAAAGCAAGGGGTTCCGGTAATGCGTTTGATCGTCACTATAGCTCACCTTTCTCGCCACGACCAATGAATGAGCGACGCGAGCGTGTTTCGTCGTTTTACTTAAAATACTGGTCGCCGGCGACTGGACAATCGACTGGTGTCATTTTGGCGACGCGAAAATATTGAGCTGGGACCGTTTAGATTAAGGTGATGTATGAACGGGGCAGTGCACATAATGGCAAATGAATGTGGGTAAATAAAGGCGATAAATCGACGCACACGGTGAAGTAAATTTAGTCACGATTTATTACGATATTATAATTTGGCTGCGGTTTCGGCGACAGCGTGTTTTGTTCGGCATCGTTTTCAACATGCTGACATTTCTGGCTTTCCCGACCAATACTGGCACGACCATGCGTCGCATAAACTCGTGTTGGACACGTGAATTAACGCCTGCCATTAGAGCAATTAATGCTTTGCTCAAAGCTTAAATTAGCAATTAACACTTTGCTTTTCCATTGGATTTGCGCCTCCATGTACTTTGGCTACCGAAACACAGTACAAAACGGAAAAAAGCATTAAACCGGCCAAATTGGTCTTGGCCGCTTCCGTGCACGTGTCACGTGCGACAACACATTTGGCACCACGTGATTCTCCGCTCGATCATCCAGCTAAGCGTGTCAATTTCTCGTCTCTATTTGTTAAGCCAGTCACGTGACGTTCGCGCGTCTTCCGGCTTCCTGTTGAGTCTGTCGTTACTAGTTTCGGGTACTTTTATTAGAGTTTTAACATCATGTGTTCGAAGTTGAACGCAAAGTAAAACGGACAACTATTCTTGCGGTAACCGCCATTGGAAAATTCATTATAGTACGTCGACATTTGTCTGAGTGCCGTTCGAAACTCCGTCAGCAACCAAACTGGACAGCAACAGATGCATTAAGACGCGCAGATGATCGCCTTCAAACAGCGAACAAACCTTCGACTGGTGTTACGAAGCACGCAACCTGACGAATGTCGTCATTCTGTTCACACATCTGACACAGAAGTGAGAACTGAAACCCGATACCCAGCCGGTGGTCAGTCCCGCATCCCCGTGAAAGCTGGCGCAAACTCACGTGAAAGCTGACGTAAAACTGAGCTCCGGGCTGGACGTACTGGTAGAAACATTCTTCCTTGCCTGCCTCTACCCAGATACGGTAGTCCATGGCCAGACCCGGCGCCATGATGTCAAACTCGGGATCGATGGGATCCGTGCCTGAGGTGACGCAGAACAGCTGTCACACACACGGCATCGATTTTCACAACCAGACAGCTGCAACGGAAGTGGTTTGTGAAGACACCTGCCATGATCATGCAACCCCTCCGTCCGACGTGCGTAGTGTATCATACCACACATTTTCCTAATTGCCGTATAATCAACTGTCCCGCTGAGGTATGCCTGGTATTATAATGATCCTTGCAAATGGACTTGAAAGATAGCAAGGCTTGACACATTTTAGACCCAACCTTTCCAAAAAATGAGTCCCACTTTCCACAACGTTTTGGGAAGACCCTGCGCTAATGACAAACTCATGCTTGCGCCGCAGCACCTGTTCTAATGTATACTTGCCAGTCAGAAATGACGCCTCCATAAATATAATGTTGATAACGCTTCCATCATTCTCTTTCAGAGAGCAAAATGCATTAGTAGACGGCGCGCCCGTACCCCCCCCCCCCCCCCTCAACCACCCCCATCTTTCTCCTTGAACTACTAGTCAATAAGAAGCTCAAAAAACGGAGCCAAACGACGAGCACCACCCGAACCAAACCTCACCTATTCGACGGGAAGGTACCGATAGTTACCGCATGCCCCATAAATGGCGGCTGCAATACCGTCAGAAGTGAGTAAACGAGCCCAGTAAACTTTGACACACGAAAGGTTTATGTCCACGGGGCTTACTTCAGCCAGCCTGTGATCACCCGTAGGAGTCCATTTTTGTAGACGTGCTGCTAAACGATGGATATGACGAAGTTCGGTGAACGCACCACCGGGTGGTGCTCGTTGTTCTTTTGAAATCTCGACAGAAGAAATAGGAGACAGGACACGAAAGCAGCGACAAGTTCAAAGACACATATCGCACGTACTGCCAGGCAAGCGACAAACGGAATAGCTGTAACGAGGGATATACCCAGCATATTTCCCACACGAAAGTGAACTGTCGAATTTCCGGCTTTGGCCCCATTTGCTGCGAAAGGATATAAGTGTAAACATCATAGCTTCAGGGAGGGAGGGATATAGTCCCCTGGTCCCCGCCCCCTCGGCTACGTTCCTGGATCTAATACATGCAAAATCAGTTGCCTTTTGCCGACAGACACTTTTTGATTTTATCAAAACTAATATTATCGTAGTTTCAAAAAAAAAAACTCAATTGGGGTGAACCGAAACACAGCTCGAAGATTTGTGGAGGGAGGCTGGGAAAGGTGAGAGAAGGACGCATACGAATGGCACTGAGGAAGTGCCGTCAAATTTTCTGAAGGGCAGTTGTCTTATAAAGGTACAATCTGTCGCAACAATAAAGTGATTCCCTTGGTCCATGAATCAACTGTTGATTTCACGAAGCCGAGTTTCTAACGATTTACTCCAGACCTTTGATTGATGTCTTTGGGATCCGATCCAAACCCTAATCAGCGCTTGTTGCGCGAACCCTGACAGCATCATCATATCGTGAAATCACGGACCAACGATAGCATTTAGGGCGAGAGCTTAACGTGCCGCATTCTCGGCGAGGTTTGTGGTGCCCTTTGACGTCACCTGACCATAACCCCGCCGGTCGCCACCAATCGCAGACCATCCTAGTCCCCGCCAAGCCACAAACGGGTGAATCAGAAGGCAGGTGCCTTAACCAACTGAGACAGCGAAACGGAGAACACTATATGTCGATTAAAAATGCGTGGCGGTGCGTTATACTGATTTTCTCGTGCTGTCCCGAACCGCTTCGCTGTCGCGCACTGCCTTGAGTATACGTGGACCGAATGACCGTGTGCGTGAATCGTGGTCAGAATCGTGTACACGAGCCCAGTGACGGAATCCGCATTACCCCTAGCATTTGATGGGCGCGAGAACTGCTTTATGCTAATGGAGGGGACTCGATGAGCTCCCTTCGTGTCAAGGGGCTTCTTAGTGGATTATCGAGAGTGAAAAGACGTTTCCTTCCCCCTAACAAGACCCATATTTCTAAGCTTATTTAACGAATTGCATGCAACTAACACGGATCACTAGTTAGTGTCCAAAAAATTGGTATGTCGGGGCGACATATGAATTTACTAGCGACATTTCATCAGCGTACCCAGGGGACAGAAATAGGGAGGATAACAAAGAACCGATAGTGCTTGAGTTCGTGCGGGACAAATACGATGGTGCGTAGGATTAATGTCAGCAAAGAAAGAAGAAGGCTACAAAATATCATAGGCAGCGGCAGGGGTGTGAAAGGAAGAGTATAAGCGAGTGAAAATATGTGTGTGTGTGATATATAAGAGTGTGTGTGTGTGTGTGTGTGTGTGTGTGTGTGTGTGTGTGTGTGTGTGTGTGTGTGTGTGTGTGTGTGTGTGTGTGTGTGTGTGTGTGTGTGTGTGTGTGTGTGTGTGTGCGTGTGCGTGTGCGTGTGTGCGTGTGCGTGTGCGTGTGCGTGTGCGTGTGCGTGTGCGTGTGCGTGTGCGTGTGCGTGTGCGTGTGCGGGTGTGTGTGTGGTGTGTGTGGTGTGTGTGTGTGGTGTGAGTGTGGTGTGCGTGTGTGTGGTGTGCGTGTGGTGTGTGTGTGTGTGTGTGTGTGTGTGTGGTGTGGTGTTGGTGTGTGTCGTTGTTAGCGCAGGGCTGTCTAATGTGTGCTGTGGGGCTGTGTGCATTGCTCTCCTCGTGTGTTCGTCGAGTCGTTAGCTGCCATATATATAATAATATATATATATATATATATTATAGATATAGATACGTTGAATACGTTAACCTAACCAACGTTTCAAGAACATTCATTTCCCATTCTGAAAGCAATATAAAACGGCCGGACGAAAAACCATCGAAAATGGCAAATAGGACGCATGCTCTACGAGAATATAATCATTGGTGAACGATCAGTTAACAGATAATGCATCCAAATATATCTAGTCAAATTACAAAACACATTCAAACAGACACACATCGCTTCTCCAGCCACTTGAACACCACGGAAAGGTAAAGGCATCGAATCACCCTGCTGTTAATGGATGACTGGACAGGTCCAGTCACGCATGGCTTAAGTTGTTTGTTTAAGTCAGGCGTTCTTTCTCTGATGAGAATGGCTCAACAACTAGTAAATGGCGTTTGCTCGGACATAATCTTAAAGTCAGTGTGCTTTCAGTCGGGTCAGAGCGTAGGAGCTTTTGGTTATGGGTTTTGCGCATATGTTGGTCTGGCGCTCCTTCCTGCAGGTGCATAGTCATGCGTCGTGATAGAGATGTGGTGGTCATTCCAATACAGGTATAGTTACTGAAGCATGTAGTAGCATTTAAATTCATGCATCATATTGGTGCACTTTAGCTGGTTTTGGTCTGCTGTAAGATTGTTTTTCATTATAAGACTGCTGGTTGCTCCACTGTTGTAATATATAGTAAGTCTTATTTCAGTGTTTTGGTCAGTCGGTGTGACATTTGTCTTGATTATGTTCCGCAAAACTTTTACATCCACCTTATGCAACAAAGACATTTCATTTCGACGAAAAAGCTGATGGGGCGGTCTGAAATTATACTTTGAATCACAACGCCGATTTCTGCTTTAAATGAGTTACGGTGTTCAAGTGACGTGTATGAACATATGTGATGAACGATCCAGCTTTCAAAAGGAGAAGAAGTGGGGAGACGCGATTTGAACGTTGAAGCGGCCTCCATCCTGTTGAAGCGGCCTCCATCCATCCGCTGGCAGTTCGCTATCGGCTACCATGATCCCCACATTCTAAGGTATCTCCTACTCTCCTCTGTCGTCATTTCTGAGCTTACTTATGGCATGTAGCTAATAGCTATTTTTTCAGGCAAAGCTGACAACGCATAAGTGAAAACATGTTATGTAACATGCTGTTCCTGTGCCCATAGTTTCACATGATGCAACCTCACATTGCCCCCACCCCTGGAGACTTCTCTTTGCAACGTCTTCCTTCCTCCTGTTTCACATACGTAAACATTTTCTTCCAGTGACCATTTAAATCACCGTACAGCTGGCTTAGGTTCGACGCTATACCTTTTGCACCCTCTTTTGGTCTGCCTAAACACGCCTTTGCCACTTTACAATTTGGTTGTGAAGGAAAAAAGTACAAAGCTTTGCACCTTGATGCTCGAAGTATTCCTTATTTTCTCCTATTGGCGATCAGCAATATTCTTCTCGCTGGATGGAAACTTTTTTGGCCCTGGAAACGCCTCTGCCATGCTACTTTTAGATTACAGCGATGACACCCATGGTAAAACTGTTCCATTCAACGCGCATTATCCTGCAGCGCGCACATCATCCTGCGGCGATCACCATCTTGCGTTTTCGCGAAATTTCACTCAGCGTCCCTTCCCAAACCGGACACTACAACCGCCCCTGTGCATATCAGGTAGGCGAAACTTTGACAAAATAGATACAAAGGAAGATTAAGAAAATCAGAAAATTTCCTTGCCTGCTGTATCCCGTTCTGAGGGACCAACGAAAAAACTGATGGGTGAATGTCCATCTTATATAATACATTTCAATCAACCATAGTTTTCAGTATATGCGAAGTATAGGGGCGCCCATGGAAACCAGAATTATTCTACACCTACCTTGCTCTCTGGCTAGGGCATAAAGCGACTCAAGCCCAGCCCGCCACTGATGAATGAACTGGAAAGCGGACGCTTACACCAACCGAGTTACTGGAAAAGACAGAAAACTTTCCTCAACCTTTCGCAAATTGCAGAGGTTACGTAGGGCAAGGCAGTCCAGCGGGTGGGTAGTGTAGGTAGAACTGATTAGGAATGGGTAACAGGTGGGTGTGAACTAGAGAACTTTATGGGTCAGATAAACCCAGAGGTGCCCAGGTGATAGGGATAACAGTTGGTATGGGTTGGCATGGATTTTGAACAAGTATGTGAACTGATATGGGTAAGACTAAACGAAATGTTCGGTAGATTCTCCAGCAAATACTACACAGCGTTACTGCTTGCGCTGTATTTTGAGATAATTAGCTTCATTTACGCTATTTTTGCAATTACCCACACAGCAGAATATGTTCGGATATAAACGTCCCTGAAAGTCTTCCATAAAGTACTTTTAAGCACCCAAAGGTGGACAGCGAGCTGGGTTAACAAAATATTTCCCGTGAAGCCTGAGAAAAGAAAGGGGTATTTGACGGGGTATTTGACGGGATATCTAGTATGAGCACGACTCAAAATACCCCGGATTGAGTTGGTAAGGCAAATCGTACTCATAAAGCCATCCACTCTACAATTGCCTGCGTGCTAGGTCCCTTTTCCATGAAAACTTTCCGGAATTTCGTTCACTAATCTAATATGCCGGAAGTAGTTAAAATGCGTTCTTCAGTTGTTAGAATTCCAAATTTCAAGCATACGCATCAAATAATTAAACTCCTCATGAGTGTACAAGCAGGGAAAACTTCCTTTAGCCTGGTTAAGCGTATAATGCAGCTTACTTGTATAACGGGCGCATAACACTGAAAACACTGCAGCCATCTGGCACTGAATTCCCAAAAAGGTCCCAACATAACCATGCAAGCGACACGTGGTCCGATCTGGAAAACCATGCAAAACTGCGGAGCCGACAAAACCCCGTTGTAATCCATGATTACCGATGGCAATGTCGAAAGTAAAGGGCTTAACTCAAGATGTTTCTTGACCTCTCATCATCTCATCTGACCTAACTTGACCTTGTAAAAATGTAGGGCTGGCTAGGGATGGACACCAACAGCCGTTTAGTGTAAAATGGAGTAGCGGCAATGAAACCCGGTGTCTGCATAATATATTGTGTCTGCATAATATATAAACCCGGTATCTGCATAATAAACCCGGTGTCTGCATAATATCCAAATAACCCGGTGTCTGCATAATATATAAACCCGGTATCTGCATAATAAACCCGGTGTCTGCATAATATCCAAATAACCCGGTGTCTGCATAATATATAAACCCGGTATCTGCATAATAAACCCGGTGTCTGCATAATATCCAAAATACGCATGAGGGCGTCATTTTGGAAGACATGTAAAATTTGACGCTTCAACTGACCTAGAACACCAACTAGCCAGGGCACATCGATGAAGCTGATATGAAATGAGGCTGATTGGCTAGGCGTAAGTGTCACCCTCCGCACGATGGTGACACCAACATGTTTATACAGCAAGTGTTCACGTATTTGAAACAAACTTCACGATTTTAGCAAAGTTTTTCGAATACATCTACACATTCGTGGCTTGCTGCACGACCTCTAGAACATTTTTAACTTCACCGATTTGGGTCCCAAGCCTCGAATTCAGACAGTACATCCATTCACCTCCAAGGCAGCCCAGCTTGCTTGAGGTGCTAAAAATTTGTTCAAAGGAACGTTGTTAAGTCGGATCTTGTTGGTCTACTTATGCACCCCAAGTGCTTTGGTCTGGGCATGGGCCTGTTGATAGATGAAAGGGGCTCTTATTCCACAAAAGCGGTTTCTTGATATACATAAAGGGCGCCTCCTAATCTAGGACAAGGATCTCCCGGTTCATAACATGGGCCTCCCAGTTCATAATGGGACCTCCCAGTTCATGATTGGGCCTCCTAGTTCATAACTGAGCCTCCAATTTCATTACAGGGTCCCTCCCTTCATAATGGAGGGTCCAAGTTCATAACGGGACCTCGTAACTCATAACGGAGACGACCTTCTTCATAAAGGGGTCTCGAAGTTTACGGAGACTTCCTGGTTCATAACGGACCCCCCCCCCCCATCTAGTTCAAAACGGGGTCGCCTAGTTCAAAATGGGCCTACTAGCTCAGAACGGAGATCTCCTAGTTAATAATGGGGGCCACGTAGAAGAAAACGGGGCCTCCTAGTGCACATCAAGTGCCTCCTAGTTGATCACGGCGGCTCCTAGTTCATCATGGGATCTCCTATTTCGTAACGGAATAAATAAAAAAAGATAATGAGCACCCGCTATTTCGTATTCCGTATTTTGTTTCATCCCGTTACTTCTTTTATAAAGAGGACCTTCTAGTTCATAACAGGGGTCATGCATTTTGAAATGGGTGCATCACAGTCCAAAACAGAAGCCTCCTAGTTCATCAAAGGGCCTCCTAGTCCATAACGGTGCCTCCTAGTTTATCATTGGACCTCTTAGTTCATAACGGTACCTCCCGATTCAGTAAAGGGCCTCAGCTAACACAAAATAGGTCCTCCTGATCTAGAGCATGAGGTGCGTAATTCATAAAGGCAGTCTCATGTTCTATAAAACGAGTTTTTTGATGCCGAAAACAGCCTGTCGAACCCCATTTAGCACCCTGCAGCTAAAGTGTGAGGATCTCCTCGATCGAAATTTCGGTAATCCACGTGAGCCTTTTGTTGGGCAAGAGGGGTCTTCCGATGTTTTTCTTTGGGGGGGGGGGGGCGAAACATACTCTGCCCCCCGCCCCCCCCCCCTGCGCTGCCCCTGGAAAGCAGGCAGAAATATAGCCATCCCTGTCGCCCACGTGGCCCAATATTGCTACACCGGTTCCCCTAGTCACGTCAGGCGTGGTACGGCCGCTGTCCATTTCACTAGTGCCCGCTGCACTGAGCTGGTGCGGCGCGCGGCGGAGTGTGACGACACTTCCGTCCCACCAGTCCTGTCGGGCGGGCTCGGCCGGCTTACCGAGAGGCTGGTGATGGGCGACGGGCAACTTGAGGCCGCCGGGCAGGGTGGGAACCGGCTGCCCGGGGGCGGGGGGAGGTGGCAGCCGCTGGCCCTGTCCGCCCGGCGGCGGCGGCGGCACCATGTTCGGCTGCGGCTGCTGCGGCGGCGGCACGCCCGGCGGCAGCCGCTGGCCGCCCTGCTGGGCCTGCATCTGGGCATGATGCTGAGCCTGCATCTGGGCGTGCAGTTGGGCCTGCATTTGGGCGTGCTCTTGCTGGCTCAGCTGCTGCTGCTGCCTATGTGGCTGCTGCTGCATATGTGGCTGCTGCTGCATAGGCGGCTGCTGTTGCATAGGTGGCTGCTGCTGCATAGGTGGCTGCTGCTGCATGACCGGCTGCTGCTGCATAGGCGGCTGCTGCTGCATGGGTGGCTGCTGCTGCATATGGGGCGGCTGCTGCTGCATGGGTGGAGGCTGTTGTTGCAGCGGTACCTGCTGCTGCTGAGGCACCTGCCCTTGTTGCACCGGTACCTGTTGCTGATGCTGCTGCTGCTGCACTGGTACCTGTTGCTGCTGCTGCTGCTGCTGCACTGGTACCTGTTGCTGCTGCTGCTGCTGCTGCACTGGTACCTGTTGCTGCTGCACTGGCACCTGTTGCTGCTGCTGCTGCTGCTGCTGCACTGGCACTTGCTGCTGCTGCTGCTGCTGCGCCTGACCATTTGCGAGTCCTATTACACAGCACACCACCACCGCGCACGACACCGTTACGCGTCCCAGGGACATGGCGGCCGCCATCCCCTCGCCCTCTCCCCTCCTGTCTGACCGTCCGCTTCTCCACCTGTGGCCGCCGCTCGCGGGCGGGTGAAAGGCACTACTGCCGGCAGGCCGGCGCAGCCTACCTTCCCGGGGCGGCCGCCCCTCAGCTGACGTGTCCCGCAGTCAGCTGACGCGTGCGGCGTGGGCCGCCGGGCCGCGCAGCCGGGCCGTCGCGCGGCCGGCCGCACGCCTGGCAGTGGTCAAGGGCGGTGGGGGATGGCTATCGCGGACCGCCGATTAGGGTTTAAAAATGAGATGCTGGTAAGGGACTGCTCATACAATCATGTCTCGCGTGGACAGGAAGAAGCAGTGAAGCCAAGGAGTGTAACGTTGGAGGAGTGTGGCTTTGGAGTGTAGCCAAAGTGTTAAAAGGGGACAGACCGCGTAGCGTTACGCTCAAGTGTAGCTGCAAATTATGCAGTGCTGTGTTCAAAAGGTTTTGAAGCCTCTAAGCCGGCCACCGTTGGCTTCCTCCCATGACAAGCAGCCCACATGTCTAAGTTTCGCACCTATGGGTTAATGAACGGCCAAACGGGTGTTATCTTTTTGGCTCATTATGCCTAGCTCGTAACCAGGAGGAGGGGACGGGACAGTGACGGCGCATCTGGGGGGAGGAGGGGGGGGAGGAGGGGTGGGGGGGGACAACGGGACAACGCATTATTCGAGGACGGGTACAAAATATATATTTTGCCCCCCCCCCCACCCATAATTTCAGGTGGCTTCAACTTGCTTCTTACCGTGCTATCAAAGCAAGCGCAGAGTGCCCATGTCTGGTCCGGAAAGGGCACACCTTAAACTCAGAAGTGAATTGTTTTGTGTCCTCTAAGGGTCCATCTTAGGCTAGAAATAGCCCACTTCAAGATGGGGAAAACACTCATGTCACTTCCAGGCACAGTAGGGCCCGATTCTGGTCTGGAAAGGGTTCATCTTAAGTCCAAGGATGGCCTGTCTCAGGCCGGGAAAAGGGCCCATCATAGGCTCAGAGAGGGTTCTCTCAAGTCATGAAACGGTCCATCATGAATTTAGAAACGGCTCATCTCAAGTTAGAGACCCAGTACAGGTTGAGAATCGGAAAACTTTAGGCTCGAAAAAAGGTCTGTCTCAATTTTTGAGTTTGGAAAGTTCTGATATGGACTGCACCCATCGCACGCTCAGAAAGTCAGTGGCGGTGTATCAGCGGGCAAACTATCCCCCGTGTATGAGGTAAGGGCCAAAACTATTTCTCCCCATACATCAGGTGGCCCTTATGGGCCCTGGCGGATTTGCGGAAGAGATTCGTTTATTGCGTGTCATCCAAGTAAGCGTGCAGAGCCAATCTCTGGTCCGGGAAGGATAAATATCAAGGCAGGAAATCCCTATAACAGTTTCAGGAACGGGAAGGACCCTTTTCCGGTCCGAAAAGGGCCCTTTGTAAACTCAAGAGGGTCCGTCTCTAACTCAAGACGGGCCCATCGCAAACTCAGAAGGGTGTTCGCCTCAGATCTTGGTGGGGCCCATCGTGAGCACAGAAACTGCCTATCTCAGCTCTGGGCAGGACCCAACATAGACACGAGCAGTTCCCCTTTTAGGTCATGAAATGACACGTTTAAGACTGAGAAAGTGGGCATTTCAGATCCGGAAAAGGACTGACCCAGTAGACTGAGCACCGAGACCCCCTTACCTTTCGCGGACAGGGAGTCCCGCAAGTAGAACACAAGGGGGACCATTGCCTTTCCCAGTCAGGGTTTGAACGGGGTTTCCGTTGCCATCCGCCAACCGGGGTACTTGCTGGCTGCTGTTCTGGAGAAACGGCGGCCGGGCCCCCTGGTCAATCAGGAGGGCCGCACAGGGATGCATCATGTATCGATCCCCTCCCTGACGCGGAAGGCCCTCAGAACGGAGCAGTTGATTCCGTATCGACGCAGGAGGCTTCATTGAAGCCAAAGGATTCACCGACACGGGGCTCTAATAATTGGCAGGTGACTCCAGTTCGGTCTTTCGGGCCCCTGACCAAAAAGGGGTGGTGGTCCTGCGCCATGTTCGTCCCTGGGCCAACATCTGACACAAGGCCCTTCCACTGTCTCATCACTGACCCTTTCGTTGTCATTCATCCTGTTTCCTTCCACTATCAGCACGCCCGGTCAACTTAAACAGGTCCCTAAAGCCAGGGCCAGTGATTCTACAAAGCCAGGGCCAGTGATTTACACTGGTTTGTGCCTCCATATTTGTCAAGGGCCCACAGCCCTAACAGAGGGTCCTGTGCTCGCAAGCGGCCGCCAGGCAATCGGGGGCAGTCGATGAGGCCCGAAGAGGGGCCCGGGCGGCCCGACGGAACAAACTATCAAAGGCCCGGTTGAAGGGCATAAGAGTCCGAAGGATTGGCTTTAGGTCACATTAAGAATCGTAGCCCGTAGGGTTGTGACCTAAAATATCAGTCAGAGGTCCTGTTGTACTGTCTGAGAATCCCCTGAGACAATGCGGGTGTCTAACTCGGCCAGAGACGACGAACACCAAACACTTAGCTCCCTGTCAATCTGAACCCTGGGGCCAATTTTCCAAGCAGGAGCGAGAACGGGAGCAGTGATTTGCATTGGTCCCGTCCCTGAAACAGCGGTTGGGGCCCCCTTGTTGGCCAGGGGCCCATAGCGCATGACAGGGTAGTGGCCCTCCGTCGGTCACGGACTTCGCTTGAGGAGGTCCGAAGAGGGGCCGCGGGGCCCCTCGGGAACAGAGATCAAGGGCCCGATTGGACTCAGACCCGGCCCCCCACCTGCAGTGCCATGACCTGAAATATCAGTCAGAGGGCTTCTGTTGGTTCCCTCTTACTAGGCTTTCTAATACTATTATGTAGGGTCTCCGCACGTAGGCAAACAGTCGGCTCCATGACCGCCGAACCCTTGAGACCCATCTCCCAAGCAGGAACGAGGCCGATCTCTCCCCTCTTATTATTTTTTTTCTCTCTCTCTCTCTCCTCTCTCTCCTCTCTCCTCTCCTCTCTCTCTCAACGCTATCGGCTGACAACGTAAAACAGCGTTTGATCAACATCAAGCTTGTTTACATAACCACCTCACGACGCATCACCGAATGCAGCCGGCCGGCACGTAGTGTGGTGGCCAACACACAGCGGCAGGGGAAGGGAGAGGGTAGTTGCTTGCAATGTTAGGGGCCGTGTCTGCTAGCTTCATGCCGCCTGTCAATTTCCCGCAATATTCGCTGCCTCGGTCCCCCGCTGTGCATACCGGTCCTAACCTCACTAGGCCGGCGGGCCGACCAGTCGGTGGCGGCGTTCACAGCGCGGGGACGCATTGACCCCGTTAGGGAGGGGTCGCCCGGCCACTGGGCAGCCTGCATCTGCCCGCCTCTGCACGGGCCAGGAACCTTCTCCAGCTGCCGGGGGCCGGTGGGCGGCGGTGTGACGGGCCAGGTGGTCACCGACACTTACTTTAAGTGCTCTCACGCGCCACAAGGTGGCGTTTTTGGTCCGGATGCGACTGCCGCATTAACTTAGATGGTGCGTGCGCGTGTGTATTCTTTATTCCTGCCTCTGTTGGCATTTTTAGTGACATTGTTTTTCTTACGGTGTTTATTTCCCAGCGCATCAGCATTTCCAGGGAATCAAGGATGACGTGTTACGCAACTGGTTTAAAAATGCCCAGTAAACCAGTTGGCCATCATTCGCCTGTTTTCCTGGCACAAAAGTCAGCCGTCGGGAACAGCATGATCAACGCGATATGCCCAGAGGGTGATCAGGTGTTGTAAGTGAAGCTTAAAATACCGAAAAAGCGCCAAAACCGAGAACACGCGCTCTAGTTCGTATAATTCACTGCCCATATCAGGGTTGAAACCACGTTCTCTGTCATAAACGTCATTCCCTCCCACGCTTCCATGACGAGTCGGTTGAACATTAAGGACAGGTCCCGATTATCACCTCGTTTTTTCATTTAACCCCTAATGACTTTTGTCCTTTTTCAGGAGATAAGGGGTCGACCACCGGCCCCGCTTCTGTCGGCCTCGCCAACGCTGCTTTCCCGTGTTGTCGGACACCCACGGCAATGTCCATGCCAGCAGCAAGTGCTTGCCATATACCGGTAAGACAGCACATTTGTCAATCACTCTCCATCTATGCACCAGCGTTACGTTGCGGTAGGGCGGCTAAACGCTGATGACATCATGGTGCCAAAAAGTCGTCAGTATTGCCACGGGTTAGGCGTCATGCTTAGGTATAACGAGCAAAACTACCGAAAACCAGAGTGAGTAAGCTTGGGTGCATTTATTTTCCAACACTGAGCGGTGGACGGTTCCGTTGACGCCAGCTCTGTCGAGAGGCGGTGCGTCGCCCTATCGAGAACGCCTTCATGTTCGGTCAGACAAGCAGCATTCAGTGAAACACTGATGGGACAAAACTCACCGATTCGCAGAGATAATACACACAACTAAGTAGTACATTTCGGAAATAACCTTTGAACCATAACTTCCCGTAATTCCCATAAGTTCCAACAACGAAACTTTAGATAACCAATGTCACATATTTACGCAGTCAAGTGCCGGACAAAATATCCGGAAGCCTATGGCTGGTTCATATAGCTCAGGTACCAATGGTTGTTCCTAAAGCAAGCAAAGTTACCCGCACCAAATAACAAATAACATATATATATATATATATATATATATAATTTTGTCTCAAAATGTAAATAAAACAAACGAAGTCATCGCGAGAAGAACGCCTAACCCATAGCCGACGGGTCCGCCGTTGAACACGTAATGACGGGCGACGGCAATCACACTGGCTGTGCCACTTAACGAAACACACACCAAACGCAGTGCGTGTGACTAGCCAGATGAGATCACAAATCCGTTACGCGTAGATCAGGCAGCCGTGGAGCCCCCGACATTAAAATATATATTCTGAGATCGCGTGAGATTTGGCCTAAGGTCGCCATGAGACCGGGTCTGAGATCATTATGAGCCCGAGTCTAAGATCGCTATAAGAACGGGTCTGAGATCGCCATGAGATCGGGTCTGAGATCGCCAAGAGATCGGGTCTAAGGCAGACGTGCGATATGGCGGCTGCAGCTGTGTAGAGGCGTCCCGGACAGCCGGTGGAGCTGAGCGCCGCAGGGGACGGCGGCGGTTCACAGCTCCAGGCGCTCGCCGGCCGACTCCTTCTGGAACTTTCCGGCCGACGCCTGGCGCTTGGGCGCGTCCCAGCACTGGCGCTTCATCTCCACAAGCCTGCAGCGAGCAATGACGTTAACTGGGGCAGGATTGCGTGCACGCCTCACCACACGCCTCATCTCGCCACACATCAGCATGTTCTCCTATTCGTCGTCTGAGCGGTCATAATCCTCATCAACTGACTTTCGTGGATAAACACCGGGTTCATTCGCTGTTCCGCCTAACCCAATGGGGCCTCGGAACTCAGTCATCATACCGGTTAAATTCGGTTTAAACATGCTTTAAAAACCATCGCACGTAGGAGATTTGCAACACGTACGAGCTCAGCTCAGTGCGGTCAGATGCCACATAAGTTTAAAGAGCGTTAACGAACAGATTTTTTTTGGCAGAATATCGATATCTGTATGGTATGGAAGTCCACCTTGAGCAATTTCATTTTGGCTTAAAATGCTTATGATTAATGCACGATCTCAAACACGACGTATCAGGGATGATCGATAAATTATCGTTCAACGATTCAATCATCAGTTAGAGCTACACCTGGTAAATTATGATTGCTTAAGGTTGAGACAATGGGAAATCCGATGAGCTTTTAGCAAATGCCAGCAGTCACGTGATAGTGCCCCTGGCTCCCCTGTTTTTTATGATATGCCTTTAGTTGTCCGGTATCAACCGGGTTGTGATTCTGGCGGCCTGAGATTCACAGATGGTGACAACGATGACGCCTGTATCGTCAAGTGGAGCATCGGGTCGAGGCATCCTTCACAAGGAATAAGCCGTCATGCAGCTACAGCGCAATGACGCAGCGATAACTCATCAACCTTGTTGATTTTGTTACTGACATTAGAGCTGAGGGCAGCAGGCTCCGTCTTGTGCCCCCCCCAAAAAAAAAAATCACAACGGTAAGCATTTTCGTCATTTAATAGCTTTAGACTCATTCTTTGATTGTCGCCGACACCATTCAAGCCCAGGCCCAAGCCGTACATAGATAAAAAACACTTCCCTAATAAAAAGGATCTAGGCAAGTACCTAGTCATCGCGCATTCAGAGCAGGCATGTGCCTGGTTCCCAATATTGCTTTGCGGGAACCGTCTCCCGGTTCGTGGTTCCAGAACCAGGAATAACCCAGGAAGACGTCTGGAATAAGGCCGAGGGAACCAGCAGGAATCAGGATCCAACCTCATATTAGGCCAAAACATCCAGCGGGAACCGGGATCCGGCCTAATATGAAGTCGGAAGATCCAGCAACACCCAAGATCCAGCCTGACAACAAGATCAAAGATCCAAAAAGACTGACACCAGGCCAAGAAAAACAGCAAGAACCAAGATCGAGCCTGGAATTTTGTTTAAGGATCGATTTAAATGTGCCAACGAGTCCAGCAAAGACCAACATACAGCCCGTAACAGATTGCGACCCAGCAAGGGCCCAGTTACGGCTCAGGATTCCCCTGAGATCCAGTAAGAAACAATCTCTAGTCTGGAGTGATGCCAAAGTAAGCAGCAAGAATCAGAACATAAACCACACCCCTGGTGTTCTGTTATGTTGATATAAATAAATGAAAATATTTACATCAACCACTTCAGAAGGCCTTCCCAATTTTCACTGGTTTCATGTAACCCTGCCCCAGTGAGATCTTACAAACATCTACCACATTGCAGAATGAAACATGGAGAATGTCGTTGGGCCTAATGTGTTTGTGTTATTAATATGAATGCCGCTTTGGGCCTAATATGTTTGCGCTATAATTATACGCTGAACAAAACAATTAATCCCAACCTTTTTAATGGATGGATTTCTGGGAACGGCGGCCACGCTCTCCGGTGCCTGTTGTGCGAGCCCTGGAATCCATTACACGACCGCGCAATTTAAAGGGAGTGTTCCACATTTATATGGGGTTCTGAATTGAACTAACCATTTTCAATACCTTTCGGAACCGTTCACAATCCTGCCCTTCTTAAGACCCAAGCCGCTCTACTTTCTGAGCTACTGTCATGGCGTTCATATCTGGCGTTGGTGAGCGCGATTTCCAGCTATAACGGTGGTCAATTGGTTCTAAATCAATGTTGTGCAAGGTATGATGACGTAACCAAACCATGACGCATTGGGCATATTTACTAAACAGAGCATTCTGCGGTCTACAAGTCCTTTCCATTTAAAAAGTATACCAATAGTCGCGAGCTTGCTACATCATACCTGATGCTCGCCTCAACATCTTCAAAAAACAAACATCCCATGAAGGTTAACGGCAGAGTTTGGTGGTAAAAGTTTAACGCGCCGAAATGTTTTGGCATGGTCCGTACCGCTCCTTCGACTATGGCTAATAGGCACAAATGCAATACAACTCATTTACGCGTTCTTTTCAGCTACTGTTGGTAATGACTCGACTTCATACTCTAGCAGTTGGCTCTAATAGTGCACACACCTAAGTGTGCACTAGTGGTGCACAATACAGGACTGAAAGAGACCAAATTAACTTACTTCAACAAATCCTTCCACATCTGCATCTGTTTTGCCGAACCAGCGGAGTTCTCCTTTAGGTTCTTGTGGTCTTCCTTCAGAGCCTTGCTTTGCTTTTCCTGTTCCGTTATCAGTGCCTGGAGAACGAACAATGGTCACCTGGGGTTTCCTACAAAGACGTCCTCATAACAGTCCAACACATACCATAAGTATACCAGCATAGCAATCACGCGAAACTGACGATGGCTGTGGTCATTTCTTGACTGAAAATTTTAAAATGTCATCCCACGTTATCATGATGAGAGTACGCTTGAAAAGGTTCGAAGGCCGGACCAGCAAAATACCTCAGAAGTTATTTTTATTTAATCAGGTCACTGCAGGCTGACCAGCTCACGTGTAACTGATAGCATAAACGTCACTGTAGAGACTGTTATAAACACAGCACCACCGACCTGCAGCTGATCCCGTCGTGACTTGCCCTTGCCCTTCTCCGTGTACAGCTTGGTCTCCTTCTCGACCATCTGCTTCTGCGCCGTCAAGATCTCTCGCTGGGCGTTCAGCCAGTGCATGCGCGACTCGGACTCGGCCAGTTCACGCTTCATGTCCCGCACCTCCTGCCGCGTGGCCGACGTGGCCGCGTCAGGGGCCCGCTCCAGACTCTCGGCACCGAACTCCTCGGTCAGCTCGACCGCCCCACGCGACGCTCCTCAGTGCAGTTCAGAGGAATGACCCAACACCAGATCTACACGATGGCACCCGATGCTCCACGCTCACCATAATGACGGACTCGTGAGAGGGACCGAGCGGCATGTCCGGTGCGAGCCCCCACCAGCAGAGCCCCACGCTCAACATAATGGCGGATTCATGAGAAGCACCCAGCGACGTGTCCGGTGCCAGCCCCAGCAGCAGAGCCCCACGCTCGCCGTAATGACGGATTCCCCCCCCCCCCCCCCCCTCCCATCAGCGGAGTGTCAGTGCGATATCGTTATGTTGCATGGCTCAAGGAGCAAACGTGTGGCGCCGGCTCCCAGCCGTTTTGCTGGAGCGGGAACGCACCGTCTCCAGTTTGGCGTTGTTGCTCTCCAGTCCCGCAGCCATGGAGTCGTAGGCGTGCTTCTTCTCCTCGTAGTCGATCGTCACCTCCTGGCTCTGTTGCCGCATGCCGCGCAGCTCTTCACAGGCGAGGCGCGCGGGTGGCGCGGTTACCACCACATCCGGACAGCACAACCCACTCACCGCACACAACACCGGCTGGGTACGGCTCGTAGTGAGCCCCGCGACGGCCCAATTAACAGTCATCTTTGCAGATTACACCCGCTGCAGTCATCACACAACTAATGCTAGAGTGGCGGCAAAGTCATTAGCCGCAACGCCGCCTCTGCATGCACATACAAGTAGAGTGAGGGAGTGAGGCGACGCTGGAAGTATTTGTACCACACGGGACTTAGCATGGTGGTGATAAAGGCCACACATGGTAATCAGGAGCATAGACCCCACTGTTGCCAACAGGATGACACTGACAAATTGGCTGTCAAAACTCCTCTGATTAGATTACTCATGACCTGTGGAATGCAGGAAATCAATGAACGTGCGCGAAATCGCAACTGTCAGATTAGATAATTACGAAAATGGGTGCTAACACCGTACCAGCTTACAGTGACCGTCGGACACTGTGACCCACCTTTGATGATGGGCGCCAGCTTGGCCTTGCGCTGGGCGATCTTCTCGTTCAGTCGCAGCACCATGGTGGACATGTCACTGAGCTTCTCGCCCTTCTGCTCGTCCAGGCTGGCCTTGCTCTCCGACTCCTGTTCCAGTTTCTCTTGGGTGCCCGTGATGCCGCTCACGCCGCGCTCCTTCTCCATGTCCGACTGGCGCAGAGGAGGCACGCCATCAGGCCGACATGGGCACGGAGTCAACGACACAAGGGTGGCACGGCCGTCATAACGTGATGCCGCTCACGCCGCGCTCCTTCTCCATGTCAGACTGGCGCAGAGGAGGCAGCTCGGCCCCAGGCGTCTCCCACGCCACTGTCACTGCCCGTGGCAGCCGACCCCACACGTGACGGCCTCACGTGACCCCCACACGGCACACGGCCTCGTAAGGCGCGCCACTCACCACCATGTTGGAGATGACAGCGTCCTTGCCCTTGAGGATCTCGAGGGTCCTGCTGAGCACGCCGAACTCGGCGCGCAGCTCCCCGATCTCCAGCCGCTTCTTCTTGTAGACGGCCGACTTGCCGCGCAGCTGGTGCACGTACTGCTTGAAGTCGTCACCGCGCACCGTGCCATCCGGTCCGCCCTGCTCCTCCAGCTGGCCGCGCTTCTCCTGGCAGATGCACGGGGCGGAGGTCAGATGTGGCCCGGTCAGACGGCGAGACGCGCAGGTTAGACGGGGCAGTGGTTTAACGGGAGGGTGGGACACACCGACAGGTGCGGGTCACATGGGGGAGGGGCGGCTCAGACGGGGGCAACCCGAGGAATGAGGCTTGGCCGAGACAGGCACACTATGGACCACAGGGACCGAGGACACTCTCTTGCCCAGTTCAACGGGACTGCACGAAAGTTGTTGCTCTTGATTATACAGCAAAGTCTAAAATCACAAAACCAAGTAGCTAGCACATAACCCATACCAACATTTTCGAGGCGCGGTACACACACATCGCTGACTCCTACGTCATGTCGGATAAGCGTGGTGAAAGAGATTATTGCATTGGTCCCTCCTAATATGTCAAGAGCTCGACAAACCACATCATTCAGGGTCCATTTAAAAAGGGTCACCCAAAGCTGTCAGAGCTGTGCCAATGGCGTTGAGGTCGCTTGAATTTCTAACAGACGCATTGGTCACAAAAGACAAAGTTTGACCTGGCTTGCCATTAGATGAGCCGATCTGGCACACGCCAGCAAAACGATAGGACTGCAGTTCAGTGATAAAGACCAGGAAAGGAGTGTATATAACATTTCTTCAGATAAATTCCCGCGAGAAATAATCGTTACCAGACAACTTTTGAATATAATTTCACTGACAAGAGATCGTGGGTAAAGAATCGTCAACACCAGACTATGAGCTCATACGGGTAGATTACGCAGTTACGCGCCCAAAAATATCAGCAGCGCGCCAAAACTGTTCAGAAGATATTCCAAAACTATCTTAGGAACCTTCTGCTCTACTGTAAGGCAATTTTTAAGCTTAAGCTGCGTTGATTACTTACATCGAGCCAGTCTTTGCAAGAACGCGCAAAAACGATACGGTTGCTGCCAAAAACCCAAATACAGGTCGCAACTATCGAATTTTCTTACCAACGGTATCAAGCTTCCCTCAACTGTTTTTTAGTTTTCCCCCAAAAGCAAAGTCGCGAACCAAGTCCCAAAAATTCAAGTGTGGGGCAATTAGGTTATTTTACAACATGATCTCCAACGGATAGGCTGGATCTGCCAAAAAATATATCTAGAACCCCAATGTCGTAATACGTACTAAAAAAACAACGAAGTACTTGTGCAGTAAAGGACAAGACGCCACACTTATCTGCAGCGTGATGGCGCTGCTTTGTGGTTTTGAATGCTGAGGCTGCTTGATCAAATGATAGATATTTGTGAACGATTACGGAAGCATTGGGGAAAAGATCCTCTCCCTACGAATAGCAATGCGACATGAAATGGGAACCAGGGATCGGGCGGGGTGGCGTGGGGGGGGGGGGGGGGGGGGAGAGGCGGGGTAAAACATTGGAACACACCACTAGAGTAAACGCATTAGCGGCATTCGGATTCGCCATCAGACCAGCAGATGCATGGCACACATCCAGCAACCCACAGCCCTACACATCAATATTATGTCCACATGTTCATATGACGAAGCGCCTAAGCCCTGGACATACGGCGAGATCATCCATAATCTGCTGCAGCATCTGTTGCTGCTCCTGCAGCTTCTCGGCGGCCGCTTCCTTCTTTTTAGCCACGACAGCCGCCTGCTGACGGAACATGCCCAGCTTGTCGTCGGACGAGTCGGACGCCATCATGCGCTGCTCAACCAGGTGGGCCACCTCGCTGTTCACCAGCCCGATCTGGGGAGCAAGCCGGCCGTCAGTCCCTTCACCAGTCCTTGCTGTTCACCAGCCCGATCTGGGGAGCAAGCCGGACGTCGGTCTGCTCACCAGTCGTGACAAACTCTCCGGACATTATGACGCTTCACGCCCCACTATTGCACTGAAATTACGCTGATGTATGGCTGATCAACATCAGGGACAATAGTCAAATTGTACCACTCTGCATGAGTGCAGGCCCAAGCACACCCATTCCTCTTAATCAGTATAGGCCCAAACACCCACCTTCTTCTTGATCTTTTCCAAGTCCTGGGCAGTCAGTGCAGGCACGTTAGCCACTTTCTCCAAGTTGGCCACCTGCTTCTTCTTCACCTCTAGCTCCTTAGGCAGTTTCTCATTGGCCAAGTATGTGTGCACGTTCACATCCTCCTCCAGCCTCTGTATCAGAGCTGATGACAACGGCAAACATTGCTCAGCCAAGTCCCGACCAGGCATTACAAAGCAGCATGGTTCCCCTGTTTACTTAGCAACAAAACGCATTTGGAAGATGGTAGTCTCTGACCTTATTTTCTTCGAAAGAACCTTGCGCGACTGCATGCAACTCCATTCATGTACGCTTTGCTGTCTATTCTACTCATACCAGACAAAAATATCTTACACATTCTAAATGAAGTGTTTAAGATGGCCTTTATATCTTGGTTTTCGACATGAGGAGTTCAAAGTTCTTATGGTGAGGTAATGACATCCAGTATACTTAAAGGCTAAAGTTAAGGCTAAAGAGCAACATGTCGCACCATTACTTGGACGGGGAGAACAGCTGTTTCAATTAGAAGCGCCCCATTCACTGGTCCTCACAAGTGACCCCGGCACACGCCCGACCTCAGCCTGTACAAGTGACCCCGGCAGACGCCCGACCTCAGCCTGTACTAGTGACCCCGGCAGACGCCCGACCTCAGCCTGTCTCCGTCACTGCCCAACTGACCCTCCGGCGTGGTGCCCATGCTGGCAGCGCGTAGGTCCTTGAGCTGGGTCTGCATTCGCGCCAGGCGCTGATCGGCGCGCGAGATGGCCTGCTCCTGCTCAATCTTTTGATTGGCCAGCTCCTGCTCGCGATCCTTCTCCAAACGCAACTTTTTGGCGGACTCGAGCAGTACGTCCTTGTTGGGGTGGCCCTCCACCTGCAAAAACACACCGAGTGAGAAAAAAACCGAAGCCGACCGAATCTGGGCAAATCACGACCGGCTCCATTCTGTAACGACCGTGAACACCACTTTCACCGTGGCATGCCCAGTGCAACGAACGAACCAGACTTCTCGTGAGACTAAACCGCGACCGTTGACGGCATGGCATGATTGACCAGACAGACCTGCTGCTGGTGCGTCCCATGTTGTTGATGGGTACGAAATACCTGCGTCTAAGGGATAGCAGCCGCCAATCGCTGAGGACCAGTAAAACACAAGAGGGACAACTTACAGAGCGGATTAAGGACACACACGCACGCACGCACGCACGCAAAAACACGGCTTAACGTGTACACCAAGTGCGGAGCACTTCCAACCAGTCACAATACCAGCAGTTGTCATGTGTTTTCACACATATACAGTCCAGAACGGGCGAGGCAGCGACGCGCGCTAGTGGCGGCACATACCTTGTTCTTGAGACGCTCGATCTTCTTGGTGACGATCTCGCGCTCCTCCTCCATGGCGGCGATATCCTTGCGCAGCTCGGCGGTCTGGAAGACCGAGTTGCGCAGTGCCTCGTACTCCTTGTGCGTCGCCTTGAACTCCTCGATTAAGTCCTCGTACTGTTGGTGACAGGAGGGATCGCCACACCCGGTGAGGTCACGGAACGGCAGCAGCGCCACGGCCACGCAGCTGGATCAACAAAGCGGGGCACACCATAAACGGTGAAGAACAAAACCGGATGATCACAATTTATTTGGCTAGTGGAGACGAGTGCTTGATTGCATACGACACCTGTCCATGAGAAAAACGGAAAGCGGGAGGGATGACGACATTCGGCACGTCCCTGTCATTAACCCAAGTGGCGTACACGGAGGCCACAGGCAACCAGCAAAACACATACATAGAACTTTGTGCGGGGAGCACATGTAACACGCAAAGCTGAGGACCTGAGCCCACCTGTTTGTACATGACGTCCAGCTCAGGATCGGTGAGGATGTCTCCGGGGATCTCGACCTTGACGAGGTAGCGGGCCAGGTACGCGCGCTTCTTTAGGTCCGGCAGCTTAAGCAGGCACCACTCCAGAATCGGGTATATAATGTACTTTTCACCCGATACCAGGCCCTGGCGAAATGAGCTCCTGCGAGGGCAGGCAAGCATTGAATAACCGGCATCGTAATCACTTACGCAGCACAAATACATTGCTGGAAAGACTGCGAAGTGATAGCTGTTGCATGCAATTTCAACAACAAAATATGTCCTGCCAATTCGACATGGATCGCCTTAACACAAAAAAACAGAAGGGTAGCGCGTGATGTTCAGACAGAACGCCGGGTCCCTGGAATATACAGGAAAGCAGACTATTTCTAGGCAGCTACTGATTTTTCTCTCTCCCTCTTCACCCCTCTGCGCAAAAAGAAAAAGATCCGTTGAGTCCCTCATCTGAGCAATGTCTTTCCATATCCCTCTCTTCTCCTTTCTCCCCTTCAAAATATCGATCTTCAGAGGAGAAAGAAAAAAAGAGCCCAAAAGAAAGCACCCAGAAAGCAAAGACCCCTCTCTCTAAATAGAAAGAAAGCGGGGAGCAGCTCTCCGCCCTCTCCCTAGGATGAAGAGGAGAGAGACCTCTCTTTCTCTCTCTCTCTCTTATCTCCTCCTCTCTCACCTCTCTCTATTCTCTCTCTCTCTCTCTCTCTCCTCTCTCTCTCTCTCTCTCTTCTCCCTTCACCCTCTCTCTCTCTCTCTTTCTTTCCCTCCCACTCTCCCTCTCTGCCTTCCCTCCCTCTCTCCCTTCCCTCCCTCCCTCCCTGTGCCTACAACTAACGGCGCATGCCACTGCCACTCGCCGTTTACGCGACACCGAAGTGCACGGCATGACTATCCGATTAAACACACTGGCAAACCATCGGATTACTTACGGGTCCGCCGACGGCTGATACTTGAGGATGCGCAGGAAGGACAGCATCCTGAGCACTGTCTCCTCCGGCGGCTCCTCCCGCAGGTCCATGGCGTGCTGATTATCGATCTCGGCGAACACATCGTTTAACGCCTGCAGAGTGGCAAAAGCCAAGTCAACGACATGCTGATTCCCCGTGCCCCGGTGGCCCAATTAGCGCGGATGCCATGCCACGACAGTATTCGTCATCAAGATTTGGCTACCAAAACTACAGTCGTTGCTGACAAGCCATAAGTGACAAATCGACAGAATAACGTAGTGCCATGGATAGCTTTTTTCGTATCGGCACCACGAACATTCAATTGCAATATTGTTTAGTTGGGGTTTTCTCCTAAGCTGGGAATTCTCTTACAGCCCTACTAGGTGTCCACGCATTTTGCACTTCACGGTAGTTATACGCAGTAGAAGCAATGTTACGCAAACGTAGACCGTTTACGTTTTTACAGTGCAAGTCATGACAGACGCACACTTCGCAAGTAAAAGTTTGGCCTGTGGCACTAATGTCGAGCATAGGTGTGTGCTGTGAAAGTAATGTCGTGCGCTAGTAATGACTGTGTGCGTTTTTGCACTAGAGGCCATTACGGCCATACGTTTTTGAAGCATGAATTTCGTCGTGTGGCACTAATATCGAGTGCAAGTCTTCGCAGAATAATTAACAAGCATAAGCTGCGGCTCCTCAGTATCTGCACTTAAAGTAAAAGCGGGTATAATTTTTTGCTGAAGACGTTTTGTCACGTAGCACTGATATTGTGCAGTTGCAGTCGCAACTGACTGCGACTGCAGTTGCAGTCGCAGACAGTCGCAGTGATGTCGGAGCACTCCTGTCGGTAGGAAACTTTGTTGTACCACTAACGACATGAAACCGACAGATGGGGCGGTTGCCCACACGATCCTCGCACTGATTGTCGATTATGCGGAGGCCCGAGGCAGCCGCCCTGTCGCACGTCAAACATTCGTCCAGGTGGCTGAGTCATGGAAGCCGGACGCTGCGTGGAGACGGTGCCGCCACCGCGGATCCTGTAACGCTGCGCGCGGTCAGGCCAGCTGGCTGCGCATGCGCAGTCCAGCTCTCCTGCTGAGTGCTCCATGTCTGTTCCACAGCCGGCGGTATTGTGCAGGTTCGCAATGTGCGTCGTGTGGGCGCGAGCAGTGATGATTTGTTCGCCATAAATAAACGTCGCTGTAGCTTGCTGGCTGTGTACTTGCTTGCTGGCTGTTTCACGTACACACGTAGATCATAGCGAAAGGGATCGCTAAACGTTCCCGGGGATCGTCCACGTCCTGTTCCGCTGGCACACACAGCTCGAGCCGATGCGGCCATTTCAGTGGTAACGACGTCAACATCGCATCGTCTCGCAGTTTGTGATCATCTTGTGGTCAACTTCATACTGGCTGGATGCTAAACCAGGCTAAGGTGTCACGAATCTTGTGGCCACTCAATGATGGTTCAGATGTGGGAGCATGCTAATGTGCCATCACTCTAGTGGAGGTCGGCACTGAGCAGGTCAGTGTTCATCTCAAGTTGCCTTAATCTACCAACATTTTTGTTGTTTCTGACCCGGACCTCCGATAACGCGACGTCCTCGCTACCCAAACAATATCTATCGCAAGACTGTTCTGGGCATTGAGGATGACCGAATGTGGCTAACAGTGGGTGCGGTGCCTTCATTTCAATGGTTTCAGGTGAATCCCACACATACAGAGGTGGTGACTCATGCTTGGTTTGTGTCTCGCAGGCCAGTCATACCAACACAAAATATTGAAAGTATATCCAGAGATCATAGCTAATTGGGTTCCATGCTGAAAATAACATCATGTCACACAATGCTACCCATCCCTGATAGAACATTTTGGCAGCTGCTACAACTTTGCTTTGCAGCTCATGCTTTGGACCACCATGTTTGAATCATACTCTTGTCTGGTTACAGTATTCATGTACCACTTCACATTGGTGTAGTCAGCTGTTCATGCCACAGACCAAAACTGATTCAACATTCTCTAGTCAAGCCCCACCTGTAATTTGGCACATTTGTGGGAAATCTGAATGCCTGCATTCTCAAACTGAAATGGAAAATTATCAATAGGGCACAAAACCACTACATTTCAGCACACATGCTCACTTCAGGCTTTAGGGGTTATGTTCACAGATTTGACCTCGCATGGATTTGCATATGAACACATTCTATAGCAGTATGCAGGATAGGGAGCTTTCCTTGCAAAGAAATGTGATGTGAAGAAATGTGTGCAAAAACCAGCCCTAAATTAGTTTCTAAACTAATGGTTTACAGCTTCTCACCTGTAGTAGCTGCTCAGAGCCCAAGGCATCAAAACTAATGACATTGTACTTCTTATTGAAGGGCTCTTTAGCAAGCTCTTCAACAATGACCTTCAACTTCTCATTCATGTTTAATCTGCCAAACCTGAGAATGTTTCAGCATCATCAGTGCATATGGCAGGGGGAGACTGCCAATGGCAATGGAAGCAAATGTAAGGCAAACCTCTGGATAACAGACTGGCACTTTAAAGCTAGACAATACTTTGATTCCTGCAGACAATGACAGTGAGTGCCAATGAAGGACACACATCTGAAAATCATCTGCAATCATCCATAGTGTGGGCATGCCATGTTCAGCATGTCTCTTGCAAGGCATGCTGCCCAGCATAATGGTATTCAACTGGATGATCAAGGGTTAACCCCTTCAACCACCTGTCAATGATGGACTTAAGATGTCTCACAGTCTGTGACCTTTGCCCCTCCCCCTCCCAAGTCTGAACACTGAGTCATGAGCACACACAGTATGCTCATTTCATTCCCACATTGGCAATGCCCAGCATTATGGCCACAACCCAGGATTTTAAGATATTAAAAGTAGAAGGAAATTCCATTGCACCCAGTCAAATTCACCCATCCCTTGCTGCCCATATATTTCTACCTCCATTACAACATAACTGTTTACTCTATACAGACCCAATCTATACACTTGCCTACATCTACATTCACTTTGTATCTGAATGTAAGAGCGAGGAGGCATAAATCTGAGGAAAAGTCAAATCTGGGATGCATCAGAGAAAATATATCACTTGGCATGCTATATGAATGAAAAAAATGAAGCATCTTGATAAATTAACATTGATATATTGGCATGCCAAGTTAATTCTACTACTCAGTGATCTACAGCTCTACTACATAAGCAATGTACTGCACAAATCATGTCAAACCAATTCAAACTATGTTTTGTAGATGGGCACTGGATACATAACTGGTACCATTATTTCCATGATATGGTGCCTGTTTGGTACACATGTGTTTGATATCAACTCAGAATAGATAGAGCATAATGTTCAAGAAAACCAGTTTAGTTTGAATGATACAATTTTATTCTCCCACCACACTTGGTACCTGTAGCCATGTTAAATAGCATGGAGCATGCAGTAACACTGGCATACACTGGCCTCACACTCAGCAAAATGGTCTGTATCAGCGGAGAAGTTGCCTAATATTATGTTGCATCGAACCATTGTTTGAGCCTTTGAACTTATAATGTTCTGTCAATATCATTTAGCAATATCTCGAGAAAATAATGCATCAGATGCTGAGAAAAGCGTGCAACTCGTAAAAACATCGTGATCGGCCTCGCAAATTCAGCTCGCAGGCATATAACGCAATCATTACTAGCATCAGGACAAAGCTCGCGGACCACCACATCCATGTAGGGCAATGTATAAAAGAATTAACTAGTCAAAGGTCACTTCTAACCCACCTACGATTACACCACACCAGCACTACTCCGAAGACAGCATCAATAACATTCCACCTCCCTCCGTTTCACACTAATGGAACGCGTATTTATTCCGACAGGTAAAATAGTTCCACTCCTAGGCCCTGTTCGATCTGCCGTCGGCACGATTGTCAGCTGGAATGCGTGACGTCATGCGTGCCGACGGAGCGTTCAATTGCAGCGTTCGATCTGTTGTCAGTGCAGTCATCAGCACCAATCACAGCCCAGTATTTTCCCCCTCACGTCATGTGATAACCAAGTCACGTGGTCTTCTACGTCACGTGCAGGCTGACATTGCTGTCAGGATTTTTGTCAGCCCGTCAGAATGGAGGGAAAGCGCTACCAGATTACAAAATTGCACTGACTGAGGCGGGAGTTTGATTTGGTATCTCTTGCGTTGGCGAATGTGTTGGATGGGGTCGGGGCACTTGTCTAATTTTGGGGGAAATGCGATCTGAGATAGATAAGGAGGAGATTGGAATGCCAAGAGTAGCCATGACAAGGTGAGTGGCAGTGATTTGTGTGGTATGTGGATGCGTTGCTCGGCAAATTATTAGTGTTATAAGTAAGCACCTAAAATGAGAGAGAAGAAATTGAAATTCATTGGAAATAGGAAGAAGCACTTGGGTCCGCATGGGGCAAATTTACCCTTCCCCCACCCGAGCAAAGGGTATTTAGCCGGCCACCCGGGTGTGTATTAACTTTACTTTCACTTCTCCTCTCAGACCACACACTAGTTCTCGCTTACTGCCGGCCATGACACACTACCTATAACGTGGTGTTTGGAAGTTGGGTTTTTGTTCCGGAGTTACCACCACCTATTCCATTCGTGTGTTGGTTGCCCCTAATTCCCATTTCCAATTTATTTCAATTTCTTCCGTCTCAATTCACGTGTTTAACAAGCAACCTTAATTTGCTGGGGAACGCAACCACACTCCACACCAAGGACTGTTACCACGGGTGTCGATTTGTATTCTTTTGTGAAGGCCCTGCCCCCTCCCCCCCCCCCCCCCCCCCCCGCCAATGTTGAGCCATCCCCCATGTTGACTTGACCCCCCAGTGTTTTTGGCGGGAATACTACGAATAAACGTGGGTAAAAGATATTCATAACACAAATACTATCTTCTTTGATCTTTCTGCGTGGTGGCGTCCCGTACCACTCTCATAACAGAAAGTCAGGGCTGCTCTCACCGTAAGATGCAAATCGTAACAGCTGAGCGGATAAACGATGCAACAAACTTCACATGCCTAGCGCCATAAGACACGCAATGGTTCATGAGGTTGAAATGAAAAGCTCTGGAATATGGGAATGGCCTAAGTCCTTCATGGCTAGCCCCGTTCCCGTCCTCCACAACCAAAATACGGGCCACCTCCCATGACCGCCGAAGAAGAGCGCCATCAGCGCCCTAAGGTGACCCCTGAAGGGGCGCCTGCACGTGCCGATCAGAAGAGACGCGTGCGTCCAGTGCCTGCTTTCTGCATCCAACCCTGCATGACTTCCATGCCGCCTAAATTAAACACTTCTAGAAATTTTGCAAAGGTTAAAAACATACATTGTGTTGCATCAAAATGAATTGGGCTAAATCCCGTGAAAAAAAAATGGGGAGGTAGGTCGTTGGGCCTTCGTTTTGCTCCCACCTCCAACAACTTACAAAAATTTACATTTCTGACTGAACTCACTTTTTCACGGCTACCCTTGGCATTTCAATTCCTTCCTTCTCTATCTTACGTCGCATTCCTCCTTAAATTAGAGTCAAGTGCTCCCACCCCATTTAGGTCGCGTTTAGTCTGTGGTCAGCACGTTGAGCAGCTGGAATGCGTGACGTTTGCTCGGCCATTCGTGGCTTCTGCTCCAGTATTACCATCATCTACTCCATCCGTATATTGAGTGCTTCTTCCCGCTTCCAACGCACTTCAATTTTTCCCCCTTATTTTCAGTGTTTACTTATAACGCTACTAATTTCCTGGACAACGTAACCACACACCACACCAATCACAGCCACTCACCTTTTCATGGCTACTCTTGGCATTTCAATTTCCTCCTTATCTATCTCCTGTCGCATTTTCCCCAAAATTGAGGACAAGTGCCCCCACCCCACCTAACGACGTGCTCGCCAACGCAAGAGGTGCCAAATTAAACTCCCGCTTTTTTGTCAGAGTGATTTTGTAATGTGATAGCGCTTTCCCTCCATGCTGACGAGCTGACAGAAAATTCTAGCATCAGTCAACCAGCGTGTGACGTAACAGGAACGTGACTTTGTAGCCACGTGACGTAACGTAGGGCGAATACTGGGCCATGATTGGCGCTGACAAACGTGCTGACGACAGAGCGCGGCCCTAATATACTCACAATCGCAGGAGCTACTAAATCGAACTCACGCTTATTTCGGCCGGCTCAAACGGATGGCGCTCCGCGTGCGGTGGAGCTGCGCGCTCCGTCTCGCAGGACGGCCAGCCGCGGCCAAGCGCCTCGAGCCCGGCGTCCAACCCCGGCCACCAGACGAAGCGAAGCGCCAGCTGTTTCATTTTCGTGTAGCCGACGTGTCCTTCGTGCAGCTGTCGCTTCACGCGGTCACGGAGGCTCCTCGGCACCACGATGCGACCACCCCAGAGCATACAGTCCGCTTCTGTGGATAGCTGCTCTGCCCTTGTTTGTACGGCGAGAGCCCTGCGTCCGCCGTCGCCGGCCAGCCTGACCGCACCGCGGCCCGCATGCGCCCCAGCGCTGGGTCTGTGTCCTTCGCTGTAATGTCTCCGTGTTTCTCTGCTCTGTCATCTCTAGAACCTGTTGTGTGTACTTAGAACCTATCTTACGCGACAAACTCCCTCTTAAACATACAGCCCCATCCGTCTTGGCCCCCTGCCCTCCCCCAGCCCTGTCTTCCTGTCGCCTCCTGCCCTGTGCTATCATCTGAACTCCTGCCTTGTGCCATTATTTCCTGCGCTGTCCCATCCCGCTGCCTCCTGTCCTGCACCCTTCTACCCTGTGCATTTCCACCCTGCCTCAGCTGCTGGTCCTGTCTTCTGCCCTAAATGTTGCCCGGATTTGGCTGGGGGTAACTACCCTTGCCTTTCCCAAATCTACCGTCCATGGCCATGTTATGCCAGGCCTCAGTCCCAACCCCACCCTCAGTCCCAACCCCAGTCCCAGTCCCAGTGCCGGCCCCACCCCGTGCCCCAGTCCCAGCCCCAGCTCCAGCCCCAGCCCCAGGCTCAGCGCCAGCCCCAGTCCAAGTGCCTGCCCATCCCTGCCCCATTGCCAGCCCCAGCTCCAGCCACAGCCCTAGCCCCAGCCCCAGCCGCAGCCCCAGCTCCAGCCGCAGCCCCAGCCCCAGCCCCAGCCCCAGCCCCAGCCCCAGCCCCAGCCCCAGCCCCAGCCCCAGCCCCAGCCCCAGCCCCAGCCCCAGCCCTGTGGTGCACAGCTGACGCCACGCTGATCACGTTACAACGTGCAATTGGCGGCGATGTAGCCAAGAGGCATTCAGGTGCAGGGGCGCGGGAACTATGCTCAAACTGGGGGACACCAAAATGCCAGAATGAGCCCTCTCATATTAGATGGTGGGGTCCTACAGGCCACAATGGGCCCTCTGCAAGCCAGAACAGAGTTAAACTTTCGAAGCAAATGATAAACTTCCTTCAGGACATAACTCGCCTGCATACTATGATGGGCCATCTGCAGGCTAGAATGGGCGCGCGTGCATAGACGTAGGAACTTTTCAAAAAGTGGGAGGGGGGGGGGAAATGCTCAGGGCGTACCTCAAGAGCTTTTCTGGAAAACAAGCCCAATGACTAGGGGAAGGGGGGAGGGTAAAGATGGGGGTTATCGCAGTGTATTCAAATGTAATCACTGCTTTCTAGATATGCATCTAGAGCTGCTTCTCACTGGTGCACACTCTTACCTATGCGAATCCTCTATGTCACTCGGGAAATAAGCCTATCCAGCTTCCCGAGACTATTCGTCCATTTCAACGTTGTTTTTCGTGGGGAGCCGAAATTCCAATAGCGGGTAGGCATTTTGGAACGTTGAGGAAGCATCTGCTTCCACAGGGTAGATGCCAAAATATGGCCAGAGCATGGGTTGGTGAAAATTTCGAAAGTTAATCGATGGCTCACAGTACAACAGATTTTGCATGCGCCTTCATTTCGCTGGCTGCTTTCCAAGAAATGAGACTTGTCGCGGCATTTTAGGCGGAAACAAAGTCGCGAGCTTGAAAGTGCCAAAAACACGTCACAAGAGCCATAGAACTGAGGATTCTTTTTTGAAAACCAAGCCGCAGAATGAAGGCCCTTCTGTCGTATATTCCTTGTCTGAGCCCTGCTCCCGTTCGACGTCTGTGGCCACTGTCCTGGCCCGGCTGTCTCCGAATGACTGACCGCGATCTGATGGTATGGCTGCTTTGTTGCACATTTCTGGGTCAGGATTGCTGCTAACTGGGAGGTAAAACATGTGTTGGACACCTACGAAAGTGCCTTTTCCGGATTATCTTCCCCTACACCACACCACCCCAGAATAATGCCACCGGTAAGCTGCCTGTTTAGGTATGGATTGCCCCCAATGGACATTTAATTGCCCCTCATTCAGCGTAGATGACTTGATCTGCTTTTGTGTGTAGGCAGGGGGTAGCCAGTGCCTTGTAAGAGGAACACAGGGTTAATAAAATGGTGATCCCCACAACAAATATCCCCGGATATAGTTAACTTGCTAACAAGGGATGCGGTTTTCTTCGTTTCCTTGTTATTTTTACGTTGAAACCAGAACAGAAACTAGAAGCTACCGTGAAAAATTCTGTTCACATTTTTATCACGCGCCCGGGTGGCCTGCTAGATATCCTTCGCTCAGGTGGGGGATCAATTTGACCCCTGCTGAGATCTCTGAAACTGAACGAGCTACAGGCACCAAATTCACAGGGTGTGTTGGCCTGTACGTGAACTCACTTACGTCAAAGTTTGAGGTTCCTAGGTCATAACTTGGGTCAAATAAGGTCAAACAGGGTCAAACTCCAGGTTCGTCTCTAAAGTGCCCACAGAACCTACATAACTGTTTCTTAGCAAAAGGTCACACGTTCAGTTAAGATCATTGACCTTTTTTGACCTGCTGAAGGTCATGGTGACCAAAATCATACAAGACCGCTCTGAGTTTTGCATTTGAATAAGTGAGAAAGATTGCGCTAGACAGTATGTTTCTGAAAACAAAATGTTGACCTAGGTCATTGTAGGTCAATGATCTGTTCTGACCTCAAAGAAGTCCATGAGCGATGTATAATGCGGTTCCTGCTATCAACATATTCGAAACGAGCACATGAAACTATCCCATACAGCAAACCATGGAGTAATAAAACAGGTTGGTGCTCTGACTGACTCGTTCCGGTCCCGTTTCGTATTACTGCTGTGTTGACAGTACCCAGGTGTACTCCCCAGTTCAATTTCGTGCTCGAAATGCGTATTTATTTTATACACCAATCCTGTGTGTACAGCAGAATGCTCTGGGAGCGCAGGCAAAGACCTCTACACTTAGCCTATATAGGTAGCCTCGCAGCCCATTTTGCCCGCAGTGTTTTTTTTTATCTGATGGAGTAAATACGCCTGGCGTACCTCCGTAAGTCTCCTGCTTCCCTAAACACTCGTCACGTTTGCAAACGTAGCAGCTTGTGAAGCACGGTACGCGGTTAAGTTCCGTATTCAGTTTGGGGCTTCATCCCCGTTCGTTCCAATTTCTCCACTGGGGGGCCCCACCTGGCTTAAAGCTCCTAAACTGTGATAATGATTGTGTGGACAAATCCGGCGGAGGCCCGATTGTTGACAGATTTCAAGAGAAGGCCTCATTTGTTCCACGGCGCAGCTCTCCCCCCCCCCCCCCCCTCCCGTCCCACGTCGCCCAACCATGTTTGAGAAATCACTTCACTGATAAACCCTTAGCTTGCCAATGACGTCATCATCAGCTGTCACATATATGCACAAAACACACTTCCTTGAAAAGCTCCGCCAAATTATTAACTGCATGAGAGCGGTTGAATGACATGAATTGGGAGAGGGATGTGGTGTTGCAGGTATGCGGAAGTGTTTAAGGAGGCCTAGGTAAAAACGACATGATTTTCAGAAAGGGTATCTTTGAATCAACGTATGGTCCGATTTTTAAGAGAATCGTACGATTTAAAGCCATTTTTAGGCACGGTAGTAAGTGAGTTCTGTTTGGTGGCTACCGTTAGTTGCACATTTGTATTTTTACTTGTTAGCAGCTTGGTTTTTTCAGAACAGTTTTGTTGAGGCAAGGAAATGTGGTCATAGAACTGTCTTATAGCACACATAAATGCTACATATTATTGTTTCATTAAATGGCACAGTATACTGGTGGAAGCTGTTGTGTTGTATTTGAAGTGGTCTGCAAAGGGTGGGAGACCAGTCAGTAAGATATTTGGGGGTAGGTCTGAATCTGCCTCAAATGGGGCACCAAGCTCTCTGCTTGGGACAGGGGCAGTCAAGGTGACATGGGTGCATAATATCACAGAATGAGGTAAAAACAGTAAAAACCTGATCCATGTCCCTTCTCCAGGTCATTCTATGAGGAATAAGATGTATAGCACTGGGCTATCCATGTGCATAATGTTTCTCACGAGTGCACTGAACAAGATACATAATATTGAAGCAATCGTCAGCTCTGAAATAAACACACTTATAGATGTGTGCACACTTTTGAAATGGAAAAAATGCCCAAGACCACAATTTCTTTATGTAGTAAATTTGCTCCTCAATGTGTCATTGTTGGCTTACATCATGAAATACTGATATGGGACTGAGGCACTTCCTATCCACTTCAATCTCAGAGGAAGTGGATAGGTGGCTGCATGTGGCACTGCTAGAAGTGTTGCTGAACCAAATATGATTATATGCTATTATTTTGGCCCTTTGTCCTGATTCCACATTTATCCTGTGCAGTTATATGTGCGTTTGAGGTGCAAGCCACATGCCAGCTAAGACACAGTTCCAACATTATTTTATCACAAGTATTGTTTTTGTAATAACATAATGCTGAATCCAGGCTTGAATTCTAGTGATGACGTGGCCTCTGAACTCGTTATGGTCATTATGGAGTGTGGTCACTGGCACTCCATTAAAAGGATATGAAAATTTGTGTTGCATGTTTTTAAACCAACACTGCCTATTGGTCAGTGCAGAACTCACATATCTATGTGGGTGCCACCATATCTTTTGGATGGCTCTTATTTCTGCTGTCTTAGTATGAAAGATGGCCAACTATCTGCTCTTGAATTGCCTTTTTTGAACATCCTGCTGTCAGTGCCACCCAGTAGTAGTGTCCTGTCTGTTGGTGGTGCCAGGCTGCCCCCACTACTGGTCATTAACTCCCATGTGCCCCCCCCCCCCTGATTGCCCACAGATGATGGGTGGTATCCAGTCAGCCTCTGCCATCTGCTGGTGATACCTGACCATCTTCCACCATTCGTTGGTGACGCCAGGCGGTCCCCCGCCGCGGGTGAGTGACACCAGGCGATCCTCTGTCGCCGGTCGGTGACGCCAGGTGGCCCCCCATCGCTGGCCAGTGACGCCGGGCGACCCCCGCCGCTGGCTGGTGGCGCTCGGACGCTCCTGCCGCGAGCTGGTGACGCCCCCCTGCCGTCCTGCGTCGGCTGCTGGTGGCGGCGATGAAGGTGAAGCACAAGCGGAGCGAGCCGGATCCGGCGCAGGCTTCCACGCTGAGCCTGGACTCGGTGCGGGTGGCCGCCGAGAGCGTCGGCATCTGTGGCGTGCCGGACGACGCCATCCGCGAGCTGGCCGAGGACACCACCTATCGGCTGCGGCAGATAATTCAGGTACGCCTCATGTCCGTCGTCCGAGGCGCGAGCAGACGCTGTGGTGGATTACACTGCGATGCGACGGGGTTGCGATCCGAAGCCGAGTGAATGTCCGGCATGGGCTGAGGCCGAGTCACGGTGTCAGGAGGTGGGCATGCTTCATGGTGTCTGACGCCCGGTTAATGCGCCCCCAAACCTTACGTGGTGGACAATTGGGGGGTGTGACGGTGTTGGAAGTTCGGTACTTAATGGGGGATTTCAACCCAGATCAAATCTGTGCTTCAGATTTCCATTATAAGAAGCAAAATCGTGAGGCTTTAGTGTACAAAGCACGCAATTATGGTGTACACTAAGCAATAAGCACCAGACATGCAAACGTCACATTCATTTTATTGTCCAGTAAGCTATCTTAAGGGATTTTCTCACCAACGTCCACCAACGGTACCCCATCCGTCCTCACTCACACTCCAATGCCAAGACCTTCCAGTTGGGCCTTGTTTCCTCTCGCACAATATATAATGTACGCTACATGCGCGCCAACCTTGTCTACAGTCGCGTCTCCGAGTGCCGGAGTCGGGCCAGAGACGTTCCGCGGGGTTGCTCTATTAACGGTATTCCACTATTTAGCTAATGCGCTCGTCAGTATGTCATTGTAAGGGATGCTTTTATGACGTCAGAGCCGCTGCCGTGTGTAAATTGTCACTGTAGCGGACGGGTTAATTTGCATCACGCGCCGTAATGTGGCTTTTAAATTGACGCGCGTTATCAACCCGACGATCGTGATGTGCGCGTGTTTGGCCCTTCCACATGATCTTTTGGTGTGTGTGTCCTTGACTTTATATGTTGAACTCAATGGTCATATTTTTTCTTGACCTTGAGCAAACACGCACCAGCCAGCACTGCCACCTCTTTCCAAACTGAAGTACTGCACTTGATATGGCCCGTCCGCTACAGTGGCAATTCTGGCGCGGTCACTTTGGCTACGACTCTGACATCATGGAGACTTTCTATGTACACATGAAGACGTTCTATGTAATGCGGCTCTATTGAGGCGGGCGGGCGGGCAGGAAGACGGAAAGACGGAAAGACAGGAAGACGGGAGTGTGTTGCGTGATGTTATTGCGTTCTTGCCGAAATGCACCGCGATGGTCTTGCCGTCCATGGCATCAAACATCATTCACAGAGTGTCGTGACCGAGTGGTTACCGTCTTCGGTTCCCACGTGGGGGGCGCCCGAGTCTAAGTCCCGGTGGCGCCGTGATCCCTGAGCCCTCGCATAGCCATTGCAGCCGCCAGCACCCTATGCAGTGGTGCGTGCATTCCCCTAAAATGTTAATTCCTCATAAACATATCAATGTTACATTGAACGACGCGATCTATGCTGTCTTAAATTCTGGCTGGTATTCGGTCTCTTTCCGTGATCGTACGGTGCGCATGCAGCAGCAGGCTAACCTGACGTACAATGTCCGCGTTTCCTCAGGATGCCTACAAGTTCAAAGCTCACGGAAAGCGGAAGAAGCTGCTCCCGATTGACTTCGACAATGCTTTGAGGATGCGAAACATGGAGGTCAGTTACGTGTCGCCTGCATTGCCGCTTCGCCATTGACATTGTGAATGTCTGTCAGGGCGCGTTTCGGCTGAGGATTGCGGCGATGCACTCGGGTCGCATGTCGCTCCTCTTCTTTATGTTCAGGCTGCGCCTGATGCAGTGATGGCCTTCGGCGATAGCGACGAAGGACGACCAGCGGCACCGGTCTAGTTACAAAATATGAAATTACGAACTAAGGTCGTGCGGGTGTGTTTGTGATTCTTTGCCGCTTTTCTGCATCGGCTTCACTCTCATCACGCGTCCGGTACACGCTGTGCCAGCGGGCTCGGCGTTGTTCGGTGCCAGCGCGAGGCGCGGCTCGGCACGGTGTCGGCGCCACCACCGTCCCTCCGTGTCGTCCTCCAGCCGCTGTACGGAGTGCAGAGCGCCGAGCACATCCCGTTCCGGTTCACGTCTGGCGGCGGCCGCGAGCTGAGCTTCCAGGACGACAAGGACGTCGACCTCTCCGACCTGGTGTCGGCCCAGATGCCCAAGGCGCCGCTGGACACCACCATCAGAGGTGCGGGCCGGCCGGGCCGGCTGCCGTCGGTGGTACACACACGTGCCGTTTGTGTGTGATAAAGGGAACATACACATTGGGGTAGCTTCCGCACGCCTGAGGCCGTTTCACACCGGGAGCGGAACGGGAGCGGAACCAGGCGCTGGTCTGAATTTGTAGGCGCTTACGTGACTCCCTAGCTTCCCGAATGTGCAATATCCGCGCGGTAGGGTTACGCTTGGTTGATCAAGGTAGTTTGTATCAGGCCAGGTTAGCTCACGACAGAAGCATTGCAACTTGGGAGCAAGTTGAAAAGACGGTGCGTGAAAACCAACTTTAAACAGAGCTAAGTCCGGTCTTTCGCCGCGCTGGTTGGTGGCGGTGATGGGGGGGGGGGAGGGGGGGGGGGGGACTAGGGAGCTGTATGATTGGTAGTTTACGGTTCGCCATCTAAGCCTGGTGATCGTTGGTCAACGGATCGTTTTACGTCATAGCGAGCCCCGTCAGTCATTTACTTCATGGTGAGCCCTGTCAGTCACCAGGGCGACAATCATGGGTTTCCATTAGATCATTCTCCGCTTCGACGTCTTCGCTGTTGAACATCATCCTATCTGCACTTGTTATCGTATCTGTTTCCCACTTCAGTCATTCAATAATTTCAGTCCGTATTTTTTATGTCGCTTTATATCGTTCCATGGTCCTACGTGTGGACAGTTTTCAATCTTAGCATTCAGCCGTCTTGTTCCGACTTTTCGTCCCTTGTTTATGTTATGCCATTTATGTCAAACATTCATGTCATTAGCCGTGCCACGTCTTTTTCCGTATAGTCATGTTGAGGTGCAGGGATCGTCGTCCTCTTTATGTAGGGTGTATCGGTGTGACATGTTCGTGCCGGCCTGGTCAGTCCCGTCGGGGAGCGGTGTACCATCGGCCGCCCTGGCAGTGATGCTCCCCCGACAGTGCACTGGCTGTGTATCGACGGCGTGCAGCCAGCCATCCCGGAGAACCCGCCGCCCGGTGGCGCTCGATCACCAGAAGCAGGAGTCCACCAACCCGGCCAGCAAGATTGGCAAGCCCGGCCACAGCCAGGCCAAGGCCGTGCCCAGCAAAAGGTGAGGCGTCACGCTCGCGCCGCGCGCCCGGCCGGCTCCGTGTGCGGGTGACCGCGGGGGAGGCTGGGGGAGGACAGACGTGGCCGCGGTCGGCTGTGCATTCAGCCTGTGGGCGTGAGCTTCGGCATTGGGCACGCGCTCTCGGGTGTTTACTGGCGGCTGGGGAGCGCTCCCGGGCTTTACTTACCTCGTTGGGTGTCGAGTCTTGCTGTGCACTTCGAGGCAGCGGTTGTTTCCCTGGGTATACAATTGGGGGTCTGGTCGCAGCGTGCGCCGTGTTACGCCCTGTCGCCTTGGTCCTGTTAACCTCAATGATAGTAATGATAACTGGGGCCCTATTATAAATGTCTCACAGCCTGCCAGACCCATTTAGAGATGGGATCCGACTTACCCCGAGATATACCTTACATTCAATGACTGGTTCACTCCGGAGTACGCGTGCCATCAGGCCGGCTACCCCAGCAGTGTGCGTTGCTTGTTTGTTGCTGGGCGAATCCTCGGGCGGGTTACATGGCCAAGTCCGGTGTGCGCCCGCGTGCAGTACATTGCGGTCGTCCTTGGTTACCCGGGGAGAGCTGTATGGCCTGCGGGATGTGCCGGGTTGCATGATCTGGTTTACCTCAGGGTGCGTCATAGGACCGCGGTCTGGTTTCTGTTCATGAGCAGGATTGCCGGCTCCGGAACACCATGTCGAGTCCAATAAGCTCGGACAAGATGCCGTTGAATGAGTGCAATACCGCGCCCCTACTCATGTTGCTGATACCAATAAATTAGAGCGGCGGTGTTCCATGAGCGTCATGTCACGCCTCAGGGACCAGTCTTTGCATGCCGTGGCTCAAAAGCGAAAGGCACGTGTTCCGCCTCACTGTACTGCAACGACAGCCGAAGCTTTGTAATCCAATCAGCGGGTATCTTGTTGCGGCCGCCGTTATTGCGCTGCCGAATGCCATAGGGCGGCGCCTTAGCCGGAGCCCGCTCAGACGTGCACATATGAGCCCGCTCCGACCGATTTCTGTCGACAATAGCGTGGTCTGACCGGTGGCGATGCCAACAATGTGCCTGCTGTGCGCTGTTCTGAGCTGGATCGGGACGGCACGGCGCCAGCGGGCTGGCGATGGCGTCCTTGATAGGTATACGAGCAATGAGAGGCCGCTCTCGGCCAGTCCATGTCGAACGCGATGGCGTCGGTGGCCGTGGCGTCTGATTGTTCTTCACGCTGGCCTCTGCTGCTGGGAGCGATAAGCCCCCACGTTTTCACTGATCTTGGCGTTATCCACAAAGCCGTGGACTGTACGTTACCGGCCGAGGAGCCTGGCACCTGCCGGAGCCTCCCGTCACCGGATCCGCTCTGTGGCACTGCGTGGTCGCTAACCTCCAGCCGCTGGCGCGTCTGTTGCAGCAAGAACCAGCGCGCCAAGACGATCGAGACGGTGAGCGTCAAGCAGCTGGCGCAGCACGAGCTGTCGGTGGAGCTGCAGCTGTACTACAAGGAGATCACGGAGGCGTGCGTCGGCAGCGATGAATCCCGGAGAGCGGTGAGTGTGCCGCCAGCAGCAGAGCGGTCCGTGTCCACCCGGCAGTGTGCGCGCAGCGGCAGTTCCCAGACGCCCTTGTTCCGCCAGCGCAAGCAGCCGGTCCCCCGGCGGTGTGCCCCAGCAGCAGAGCGGTCCGTGTCCACCGGGCATTTGCCGCCAGCAGCAGAGCGGTCCGTGTGTCCACCATGCGGGCAGTGTGCCACAGCAGCAGAGCGGCGGACCGGCAGTGCCCCAGCAGCCGGTCGTGTCCACCGGGCAGTTGCCGCCAGCAGCAGAGCGGTCCGTGTCCACCCGGGTGTGCCGCCAGCAGCAGAGCGGTCCGTGTCCACCCAGGCAGTGTGCCGCCAGCAGCAGAGCGGTCCGTGTCCACCCGGGCAGTGTGCCGCCAGCAGCAGAGCGGTCCGTGTCCACCCGGGCAGTGTGCCGCCAGCAGCAGAGCGGTCCGTGTCCACCCGGGCAGTGTGCCGCCAGCAGCAGAGCGGTCCGTGTCCACCCGGGCAGTTGCCGCCAGAGCACAGCGGTCCGTGTCACCCTGGCATTGTGCCCGCCCAGCAGCAGAGCGTCCGTTTCCACCCTGGGCAGTGTGGCCGCCAGCACAGAGCGGTCCGTGTCCACCCGGGCAGTGTGCCGTCAGCAGCAGAGCGGTCCGTGTCCACCCGGGCATGTGCCCGCCAGCAGCAGAGCGGTCCGTGTCCACCTGGGCAAGGTGCGGCCAGCAGAGAGCGGTCCGTGTCCTTCGGGCTGTGCCGCCAGCACAGAAGGTCCGTGTCCACCCGGGCAGCGTCTTATTCAATAGGTACCTGAATCATGGCTAATTGCCTGCCTTGCTGCGTCCAGCAACGTGACGTAGAGGTTAACTATAAAACTCTTCTTTCAATGCTCGATTTGTACCCAAAGTGCCTTGAGTACGGATGTACACAGAACGCTGACCAACCTCGGCATCTTAATGCCACGTGGCAAACAGATGATCGATGCAGAAGGTAAACATAGTACTTTGTGAAGCACGGTTGCACCATAAACGATCTCATGCCTTGTCCATGGACAGCTGATGTTTTGTTCGAGCGTGGTTAGCAAGTGTGAGCTTGTCCGTACGTGTCGTGCAGACCCTCTTTATATACACATCCGGGCACCTTCAACAGATCTTGACATTGACCAACCTTTACTGACCTCCGTGCGCCCATTTCGTTGTTTGAAGCTCTTAGTTTGAAATTGCTCGGATCGCAGAGCTAGGCTTGGTAATTGGTATTTCCCATGGTTTTATTTCTGACTTAGCACCAGGTCAGTGTACGTATACATCAGACGGTATTGCTGTATGCAGTTACTCGATTTGCAAATAAGGGCCAAGCTGCGGAAGACTGAATTTACGTGCTGCTATCGATTTCATAGGCATGATTTTTACAAATTTCAGTGCGGGGCTTTGCTTTCAATTCAATTCAGGCTTTTGAATGGTGTTTACTATTGGAACATGTCCTGAGGAGCTGTGCAGTTGCATCCATTTGATATTCCTGGCAGGCATAGTGTGTTTGCATGAGGCATGTGTTCTCTGTGACCTGTGATGTATTTGATGAATGGCCCGGAAAATTCATGAGTGCAGTTTTCCAAAATATGCTGGGGGTGGGCTGAGCCGACAGAAGTAGCTAAACTTGTTTTGTTATTGGAGCTGGATCTGGAGTCCATGAATTGAATACGGAACTGAATCGATGGCAGAATGTACCACTGATGTTAGATTGTTTCGGAATGTTTTTGGCCAATTACTTAGCTGTAGGTTGGATATTTATTACGCTATGGTAGTGTACTCTTGAAGATATAGCATGCCATGGATTATTTGGCCATGAAATGATATGCGTTGCACAATTGGAAAACTTCATACTGAGATGTAACTTACGTTGTATCATGTGTGTGCAAACAGCGGACTTCTTTTCCATCATCATTTGTTGGTTAAGAACATACAGGTTGGTTCACTTAAGATGTCATGCCGATGTCGAAAGATGTCTCAAGATGTCAATCGGTTCACCTAAGAAAGACAGAGGGAGAGAGCCAGAACCAGAGCCAAAGCCAGAGCCAGAGCCAGAGCCAGAGCCAGAGCCAGAGCCATCCATCATCCACCTCCCAGCCAGTGGTACTCGGGAAAGGGCCTCGTTACCTTCCGTCAGGACGGTCATCGCCCCGGGCGGGGTGATCGTTTCCGGGACCCAGCGAGCAGTGCCTCCCGACAGGACGATCGATGTTGCCGTGACTTGGCTTTAACAAGCCTTCAAATATGACTCGCTCGCCAACGCAGGTGTTGTAGAAGTGTCGTTTTGTTCTAATTTTCCAGCGCTGTGCGTCAAGATCCACGGTTTCCTCCGGTAGGTTCTCTGAATCTTACTATTCCTCTGCACAGGACCCCACTGGTACCCCATGAATGGTTATCTTAACAATGAGCATAAAAGCCTACGGCCTTTCTCTGCATCGTCGAGGGTCGCATGCGCTGATGCCCTTTCATTTTCTACTGGGGGTCTGAGTCGGACTCGTTCTTTCGACCCGGCAGGAAGCGTTGCAGAGCCTGTCCTCGGACCCGGGCCTGCACCAGATGCTGCCGCGCCTCTGCAATTTCATCTTCGAGGGCGTCAAGGTGAACGTGGTACAGTTCAACTTGGCGCTGCTCATCTACCTGATGCGCATGGTGAAGGCGCTGCTGGATAACCAGACGCTCTACCTGGAGAAATACGTGAGTACTCCGATGATGACCGGCTGGTTCTGTACTCCAGCCCCCCGTTCTGTTTTGGGGTGTCGCTGTGGGCAGTTAGTTGCAAACTGCTTGGGCTGCTCTCGAGATGACTGTATTGAATTGCAGTTGTATTATATGAATGCGCACCGCTGGTGTGAGATATCACGTCGGATTGCATCTGTAGCACTCAATGAGTGTCATGCCAGGCCGCATCTGCAGCAGTTCCTGGGTGTCACCCAGTGGGCACAAACCCGACCAGGTAATCTCTGGCAAGCTCCGCAGGCTGTGCTGGTCCAGTTCCATGTGCGGCGATCGGAGGCGGCCGCGGACATGCGCCATTTCACCGCACCCCGATGAAATCCCTCGCGCCCACGTCAAGTGTACCACAGGGAGATGTCGTGACATGCCACCGGCGCCGACTCACACCAGGCCGACGGCCGCCCCACGCGTCGCTGGCTGTCAGACGACGACGCCGTCAACATCGCTTACGCTCGGTCCCGGCTCCTGCCACCGCACTCTGGTCCTGTCGGCGGCGCTCGGTGTGGTTTGGTCCCGGCTCCTGCCACCGCACTCCGGGTCCTGTCGGCGGCGCTCGGTGTGGTTTGGTCTCGGCTCCTGCCACCGCACTCGGGTCCTGTCGGCGGCGCTCGGTGTGGTTTGGTCTCGGCTCTTGCCACCGTACTCGGGTCCAGTCGGCGGCGCTTGGCGTGGTCTGGAACCGTAGCACGTACGGCTCAGTTTTGCCGGTCTACTGCGGCTGTCGCGGTCATGTTGTTGCCGGGTTCATAGCCTTGTAGTGCTGTGTGTTGCAATCTATCCTGAGATAGATATGCTTTCCAAGATCGTCATACCTCATCAGATTCTTCTACCCTGTCCGTGTATGCATCAGGGTCTTCATCAGACCGCCTTGTTTTCTGAGGCCACTTCCCTGTCAGTGTTTGTCTGCTCACCTCGATCCCATCCAAAGACTTTCCCACTCAATTCTTCTCACCCGATGTGCCTATCATCTCGACCCCCCCCCCCCCTCGTTCCCACCCTTCCTCCAGACCCCGGCATATATCCCTTCTCGACACTTCCCCGCCTAATTTCACCGCTGTCTGTCGTTGATGCGCCACCATCTCGAAGCGCGCCGCCCGCCGCCGCGATCCCCGGTGCCTCCCGTCCCTCCCCGTAACGTATGCCGCGGCTTGCATTAGCATATTTCCAATGAAGGTGGCTATTTTCAATGGGCCGGTCGGCCTGTCGCCAGTAATTGACAAGCGCGCCGGCTCATTTTTCATTCAGCGCGCCAAGTTGCGCGATCGGGCTCCGCCTGCCGGTGTTCTCCGACGAAAACCATCGTCCGTCCGCCGCCCAGGCGCGTCCGATAGATTTGACAGGCGGAGGCCGGGCCGGCCCGGCTTGCGTGGCCGGCCGCTGGCGGCGCAGGCGGATATTTGACTGGCGCGGGCCGTGATGAGTGGCGTGTGCCTCGACTGATCCCGCTGACTGGCGCTTGCTGGGTCTGGGCGGGCGACTGCGGTCTAGGCTGGTTATAGTGCCGCGTGTCAGAATCGCTTGTGCGTAGTGCCGTTGTCTCCAGTTTGCTTTCATTGCATTTTGCGATTCGTAGAAAATGCTTCCGTACGTTGGGGTGGTAACAACGTCTGGTTGGCGAATGTCAGGCGTGGTCACCCATCGTATCAGCTCAATGGAATTCATCGGTCCCGGCGTCGGTTCGGCGTAGGCTTTTCGCAGCTCGATTAACCGCCTTGATCGTTTTTTAAGCACATTGTCTTATTTTCACAGTTATCACTGGATTGACTGGTGGGGGATCGCGCCACCAGTGCCTGCGGTGGGCCATTCGGTCATTTGTTGCGCCATTTGGGTGGGTGGGTCGGATCTGACTCGTGCGGACTCTGCTGTCAACGCACGCGCTGCGCATCCTCTAAACAACGCCTGGCCGTGCGTTCTGACTAGAGAAGTGTCGCCAGCTACCGCCACTACTATCACCATGCCGCTGGCATTTGTTTGTAACTGGACAGGACGTCCACTTCGCAGTCAGTCAACGCGGCTGCGTTGAGAGCTTCCGTCGGGTGATGGCTGTGACGTACTACTGCACACACGGCTTTATTGCTCCGTGCGGGGACTGAGACTGGCGGCCGAATGCTCGAGTCTTCGGAGACGATTCTGTGACCCAGGTGCTCAACGCCGTCAACGCAGAGCTGGCGCCTCTCGGTCATGGCAGCCTCCTGAAGTCAAGTCGTGAGCATCTCTGACGTTCGCTGCAGACAGGCATCTCCAAATTGTTCAGTTCTAGGTATGGAGCAATCCGCGCATGCCAGCCGCGTCACCCAGCAGCTTCTCCGCTTTTGCTCTTGACATGCCATCAGAATCAGAGACATGGCGGGACAGGAGTCGGGTCATTGTCGGCAAATTGGCTGACTGAGGGGCCCTGCGGCGATCTAGAATTAATCCACGGCACCCCCTGTTAGCCAGCACCTTCCGGTCAAACTGCGCAACCTTTCCACAATTGAAACACTCGGACGAGACGTACTGACGAGCGTCAGTAGGATGCAAAGCTCCTCAGCGGTAGCACTGCTTTACTCCGACTGAAATGGCCTGCGAAACCTCGCTTGCGTCCAAGTTTGGTTCCCTTCCCTCCGACGTTGATATGTCGTTGGCAGTGCTGTCCGATCCTGAAATGATGCTGACTTCCCTGGAGGCCGCTTCTAAAGAAAGACGTCTGGCGGGTGAGGCCGAACGTCAGCCGAGTCTCCCGATATGAGCTTCCTCTGCATCTGCGCGCTGTTAACGCCACATTCCGGCAGGTTATAGCATACGACATATAGCATACAGCACTGTCTCTCCGCACAGGAGCCAGAGCGTCACCGAAATCACAGTGCTTGATCAGCCTCCGTCGTTCTGCAATGCAGCTCGCAACGGATTGGCCGCCCTTCCTACAGCAAGTTTTATACTAGTATCGAGCCATTGTCACAGGCGGTCCGCGTTTCACATGCCAGTTAAGTAGCATGTGATTATCATCATGGGTCTTCTCGGTAACTTTTGCAGGTGAAGCTAAGCTTCTAAGAACAATAGACTGCCTTACCGCATTGGGAGAGGCTGCTTACAGATTTCCTTCGTCCCCAATGGTAGCACATCGATATCGCGAACAGCTGTATTGCTCTGTGCTGAGACCGCTGGGCTTGGACGGAGACTGTCGGCCAGCTGCGGCGGCCGGGCGAGGCTCGACTGACCTCGGCTGCCCGGAGCTGAGGGCAGTCACCTGACACGGCACGGCACGGCAATGATCCACTGCAGTCACCGGCTGGCGCATCTATGTCAGTCGGCTGCGCGAGCTACAAGCCAGCTGTCGTGTCTGTGTCGGTAGCTGCACGAGCTGATCCCGTCGGTAGCTAGCTGCATACTGTGTCGGCAGCTACGCGCGCGCGCTGACAGCCCTCCTGTCTGTGTGTGTCGGCAGCTGCACGAGCTGATCCCGTCGGTGGCCAGCTGCATACTGTCGCGGCAGCTGCGCGCGCGCGCTGACAGCCCTCCGGTCTGTGTGTGTCGGCAGCCTGCACGAGCTGATCCCGTCGGTGGCCAGCTGCATACTGTCGCGGCAGCTGCGCGCGCGCGCGCTGACATCCCTCTGGCCTGTGTGTGTCGGCAGCTGCGCATGCGCTGACAGCCCGCCGGTCTGTGTGTGTCGGCAGCTGCACGAGCTCATCCCGTCGGTGGCCAGCTGCATACTGTGTCGGCAGCTGCGCGCGCGCTGACAGCCCGCCGGTCTGTGTGTGTCGGCAGCTGCACGAGCTGATCCCGTCGGTGGCCAGCTGCATACTGTCGCGGCAGCTGTGTGCCAGGCCGGAGGCCGACAATCACTGGGCGCTGCGGGACTTCGCCTCCCGCCTGCTGGCGCAGATCTGCAAGAACTTCAACACGTCCACCAACAACATGCAGACGCGTGTAACGCGCCTCTTCACCGGCTGCCTGCAGGGCGACAAGGCGCCCCTGGCTGCGCACTACGGCGCCCTGGCCGGTGCGTCCCCCTCCCGGGATCGTAATGGGAGGGTAGTGCGCGGCTGCACTGCTGCTGGTGGCTCGGGGCGCTGTTAGGTGCTATGTCTGGAAGACGCGCTGAGACCGCTGTAGATTGCGGAGATGTGAAGGCTCGCCACGCACTGCCTCTCGATGCGTTTTCAGAACGAGAGTTGCGTGGACTTCGTCTGTTAGGCCCGTGGGCTCATAAATCAAAGCTTTTCCGGGATGAGTGGTATTGATGTCTTCAGATATAGCTACAAATGCTGGCTGGCTCATTTTCAGTCTGGCAGAAGAAAGTTTTCCCTCAAGTCTCACCTGCAAACGTAGGGAATGCAGCGCCTCTCATAGGAAACCCCGACCACAGCTAGCGGTCTCTGATATGCACCCGATTGCTGCGCGTCTCTGATGTGCACCCGACTGCTGCGCGCCTCTGATATGCACCCGACTGCTGCGCGCCTCTGATGTGCACCCGACTGCTGCGCGCCTCTGATGTGCACCCGACTGCTGCGCGCCTCTGATGTGCACCCGACTACTGCACCGCCCCTGATATGCACCAGGCCGCTGCACCGCCTCTGATATGCTGCGCCAAACAAATAGCGGTGGCTGTGACAGATCAGTCGTAAGTCGCGTATGTGCTGGCCGGCCGCATCGGGGCGTGTCCTCTAGCCCGCCAACTCTACCGGCCAGGTCTTTCCGAACTGGGGCCCGAGGTCATCAAGGCCTTCGTCATGCCGCAACTGAAGCCGATGGGCGCGCGGCTAGAGCAGCTGGCTGAGGCGGCGACCATCAGCCCTGCCGACAAGCTGGCCGCCACTCACCTCAAGCAGCTGTTCGCGGTGAGTGAACGATGCTTGTGGCCCCACAGCCGCGCCCGTGCGGGCTCGGAAACAGCTGGCGCGGCCGGAGCGGTGCAAAGGGCGCACAGGTCTCGGTCGAGGGTGGCGCCGGCGGCCGAAGATCGCGACCGGCGCCGTCGACCGGGGACCCGAGCGGCGCGGCCCGGTCCGGCGCCGGCAGCCACCGCGCCCGTAGCATGTGACGGGCGGCGGCCCACCTGGCGCCCTGCGAGATTGGCCCCTCAGCAGTCGGCCGGCTCGTCGCGACGGTGGGCGGACGGAGCGGCCATCATCGGTGGGGCGTGCCCGGCCTACGGCGCGGCGGCTGGCCCCGGCGCTGACAGAGAGCGCCTCCCTGGGCCGGACTGCAGTGTCATGGGAGCGTGGTCGTGTTCCGTTGGGACATCGTTTGTGTGTACATCATTGGTTGACGAGCCGGATCTTTGGTCGTGTGTCGCTTATGCTGGCCACTTTTCAGTGCTTCATCTGGCGTGAGCGTCTCGCCGGCAGCGACTCTGCCCGCTGCCTGTACCATAGGTGTACCATAGCTGACCTGGCCCCCTCCGTATCTCAGCCGACCTACTCCGTGTCTGACCCGTCCGTGTCTGACCTGCCTCATGGCTGCTCTGACAGCTGACCTGGCCGTGCCTGACCTGCCTCATGGCTGCTCCTGGCCGTGACCTGACTGCTTGCGTTTGCCGTTCTCAGCGGGCCCTGACGCCGCTGCTGAAGCAGCTCCGCTCGCCGCCGGACATCCCAGACGAGTACCAAGCCGAGTTTGGCCACCTGGGTCCGCTGCTCTGCGCCTCTGTGGCCAAGGCGCGCTCTCAGACGATGGCGCCGCCGCCGGCCGCCGGCGCCGCCTTTGGTGCCGCGCCCGGCACGCCCAAGCTGGCGCTGGCTGGCGCCGGTCAGACGGCCAGGATCGGTGAGCAGACCACCCTCACGCCGGGGAGGGGAAGATGGGCCCGTGGCTGTGGCTCCGTGGCTGCGCTGTTTTGTGCTGTCCGCGCACGCTGTGGTGCACACACTGAAGCAAGTGGTATTGAATACGTAGAACAGCACGTATGAAAAGCGGGACATGCAGTGCGCGAAAGTCGAATAGGCAGGCGTTATCACGCAGGCGGTCATATCCGAATACCGCCAGTTGTTGTATGCTCCTTTGTAGACAGTAGTAAACTCAAATACATCGGTTGCGACCAACTACCGCCAAGTATATGCTATGTAGCGGGGAGACCCAAATTAGCCCAGTTGTCACTTGTGCAACTTTGGGCACCTCTCAGAATTCAAGATGGCGGCCGCCGCCATCTTGAGTGACAGTTTAGTTTTTTTTCTTGACGACTTGGAGTGTCGTGTGACATCGCATTGGAGGTTTTAATGGCAGGGAGTCCATTTCTTTAGTTGATTTTCATGGCGGAGTTAAATTCAAGGTGACATCGAGGATCAAATGAGAAAGATGGCCACAAATACAGAAAATCACCACTATTGATAAATTTTTGCCGCTCGTTGTCTTCTGGTACGTGTCGTCTTCTGGTAAATAACTGTATTTGTTATTAACCATAATTGTTAAACCATATGCTGCATACACAATGCATTTACTGTAGAAGGTGCTTTTCACTTTGGTTGGGTATATATAGTCAAGCTGTCATCCTTAGGCCTCCTATACCCTGCAGTGTCAACCACCGCGAACTTTTGTGGGAAACTTCGGTGTAACTGGTTTTATGTACCTAGGAGAGTCAAGTTAGCGGCTGCTACTCGTGCAGCTTAGCACATTTCTCGGCATTTATTTTATTTCTCGTATTGTCCGTTGGTCAAGTTTTAAAGTTTTATGTGGACGACTTGTAGGGTCGTTAAACACCGTTTTTAGGGATTTTTTGTTGGTGAGGAGCTCAGTTATGCAGCTGTTTTTAAGGTTTGAGTCAAGGTCATATCGTAATTCAACGGTCAGCGAGACGGCGGTGCCGGCATGCCCGGAGCTACTGGTGGACGCGCACGTCAGGCGACACTCGGACAGCGAGACCGCGGTGCCGGCATGCCCGGAGCTACTGGTGGACGTGCACGTCAGGCAACAATCGGACAGCGAGACCGCGGTGCCGGCATGTCCGATGTTGGTTGACCTCCGTCCGCTGCTATACCACATCCTGTGGCCAGCTCCTGGGGCCGCAGAAGACCTGGTTGAAGATTTGGAGATCCGACTGGCCCGCTACATTCCTAGCTCCCCCGAGGAAGCTTCCCCGTGATGTGCCCCCCCCCCCCTCCCGAAGACGAGAAGCTAGAGATGTTGCCAACTTTGGTCCGAGCGTCGAGGTTTTCACCATTAGACCGCCCGTCTTAAGAGCGGCAGTTACTCCCGAAGCGCTCGTGGATATAGAAACTTGCAGCTGCGCCGCTGAAAACAAGCCATGCAACGTTGCACGCTGCAGCTGCAACAGCCACAGCCACAGCCACAGCCTTGGTCACAGCAACAACTTAGGCCTTTGGGGAACAGGGTGCTGCAAATGTTAGGGAGAAATCACATGCTAAAGCTGTTGCACCAGCAAGCAGATGGATGTCAAAGACAACGGAGGAGAGCTAGTATACATAGTGATGATGATTATGAAAAGGAATTAGTAACGCGACGCGTGCTAGCTGGTGGTACTGCGCTGTCTTTGATGTCTCCTTAGATGTCGGGACATTTTACATCAGATGTTTTCATTGAGTTTAACTTTTGACGTATGATTTGGCGTTGAATTCAACCTCGCAACCCAAAAATAAGTCCAGAAATGCGCTCGCCACCCATGATAGCCTCCTGAAATAGATATTACGCGACCATATACGCCATCGAAATTGAAATATGAAAATTGGTTAGCATTCAAGATGGCGGCGGCTGCCATCTTGAATTCTGAGAAATGCTGAGGGCTGCACAAGTAGCAACCAAGCCAAGTTGGTTTGCTTTATTTTATAGTACATATCCTCCTGAAAAGTTAGCGGTAGATAACGCCGCGGGGGTAACGTTTGTGCGACTTGACTAACGTAGTTTGCGTGACCTTTGCCGACGTTTCAAGAACTGCTCACAATCCCGAACTGGATGCAAGACTTAACTGATACTCCAAGACGTCTGCCAAGTGACCTCTGCCAATCAGTTCGAGTTGAAATCCCGTCCACGCGTTACAGGTCCCGTCAGCAAGGGGGGTGACGTTTGACGGGCGGGCCGCCGCAGACGGGGCGTGGTGTCTGGGGGAGGGGCCGACTTCGATCTGACGGCACGCGCCGTCCGTGATGTATGCTAATCGCATTCGGCGATTGACGTTCGGGCTGGGCGCCCCAATTTGTCTGGGGTGCGACGGGCGCCGGCGCCGGCGGCAGCTGGGACGCCGCCCGCACTATGTGACAGCCGGCCGCTTCTCACGACCCGGGGCGGCGCCGCGCCGCCGCTGAAAACCGTCGGGATGCGCTGGAAATAACGGTACACGGATCGTTTGGGACCAAAGGTTACATACTGAGTTATATACTGGGTTTAAGGCAAAGATACGTATACATACATAGATGCGTGTACGCACGTACATGTATGCATACATACATAATACACACACACACACACACACGCACGCACGCACGCACGCGCACGCACGCACGCACGCACGCACGCACGCACGCACGCACGCACGCACGCACGCACGCACGCACGCACGCACGCACGCGCGCACGCACGCACGCACGCACACACACACACACACACACACACACACACACACACACACACACACACACACACACACACACACACACACACACACACACACACATATATATATATATATATATATATATATATATATATATATATATATATATATATATATGTACCCGTGTACGTATATATCTGTATATGATACATGTGCCAGCGTTATTTGACTCCTTGGTCTGGGTGCATTTGATCAGCTTTTTCCCCACTTGCTTTAGTTTTCCTATTGAGACTAGCAAGTAATTCGCGTATGTTTGGCATCTATTGGTTGGCCTGAAGTTTCGAAATCATCGCATATTCCGTTATTAAACGTGCACGCATACAATATACAAACGAGAAATATATGATAACGTGTTACAGTTTGGTATAACTAGGTAGGTGTAACAATTGCGTAAGGCGAAGCCTATCTCGGTCGTCAAATTTTGTACAGTAAATTAGGTGGTTGACATTTTTGTCAGCATGAGGAGTCAAGCGACAAACACGTGATGAGCAATAAGTGACACTTTCTACGGTGATGGTAACGGGTGTCCTTAGATAGAGTGGAGGGCGACTGAGGGGTTGGTTTATTTGTTCAGCCCCGGAGACCTTGGTTTGGTCGTGACAGCCTCAAGAGCATGAAGCCCCCTCTTTGATTATGCTTTGGTGCTGGTGTCTCTGTTGAGGTCGTCTCGAGTGGTGTTCCGGTCGTCTTCTTTTCTGTTGTGCTCTTTGGGGGCACCGTCAGTTAAGTGCATCGGCAACCGTCTTGAAAGTGTGGTGGCATTGGCACCAACGTAGTTTGATTGCTTCGCGAGTCTGCAATCTCCTGTCAGAAGGGAACTGGTAAACTACGTTGTTGCGTTTCACGGGGTCAGATTTGGCTGTGAGATGATTTCTCGTGATGAGTTGGAGGGCCTTTCTGTATTTCGTAGAAGACAAGATAATGAGCGTTATATTGTCCGGTGCACCGGCTTGACGCCAGATATTATTTTCTTCAGGATACGCTGCTCGCCTGTCTTATAACTATCAGACATTTGATTCTGATAGAACAGTTTGGTTTGATTTTGTTTATGTTTGCTTGGGACAGCTTTTGTCTGATATTGTGACATAAATTCATGGTCAGTGGCACTGGTGGAGTAGCAATCATTTACAAGGACTTGTTTGGTGCGCTGCAGTTCACCGTGTAGTTGCGTCCAATGAGAGCTGAGTTCGAAGGCTCTTCGGAGGCGGGGGCGCGCTACACAGATCTGGTGCCGTTCTTGACACTCGCTTGTGGCGTTGAGGCACCATCCAGCATATAGCTACTCCATTATTTTTCCGGGAGAGGTTGTCTGGTGCGCGAAATAGGTTCTCTGTTGTACAGGTTCGCAGGAGATTCTCCAGAAAGGAAGAATTGAGTGTGGGAGGAGGATGGATGGATGGTCATAGGTATTTTAACGCATAATTTTATTGCCTCTTGTTCTTAAATACTCGTCAATGAACCTTGGACGCCCAATGTTACTAATAAACCAGAAGATTACGTGTTTTTGAGAATGCCTGAGGACTGGTCCGTTGACTTTAGGTCATGTTTCATAGCGTACGACGCGATAGGGCAGTTGAGTTGCTTGGCCAGTTGATGGGTCGTCGTAGGGCACTGATGGCGCGGTACCACGATCGGGCACCATTGGACGCTGCGGATTTCCTGTCCCGTGAATAGTTGTATCGGCTCAAGCGGGCTCAGTGTTCTCCAGTGATCTTCCGGAAATGGACGTCATCGCCGACATCGTCGGCGCGGTTTGTTGGCTTTGGTTTTTAACCTGGGGGTAGAGTCTAGCTTGATATGATCAGGACAGTCGCGTAAGCCCTTTGTAAGGAAAACCGACACAACATCCGCACACGTTATTGTTGATATCGGAGCATGCACATTTCCAGGTCGTAAGCAACGCTTGTTCCTCTGGATTTGACAGCTAGACGAGGTTTTTTATACCGATTGACGCGTCGTCATATTGTCCGTTGGTTGGTGCGTGGCTTGTGTTGTGTATTGTGTGTGTGGTGCCGTAGCTGTCAACTGGCTGCCGCTTGTCCCCCCGGTGTGTGCGGAGAATTGACTGTCGCCTGGTCCCCCCCGGTGTGCGCGGAGAACTGACTGCCGCCAGGTCCCCCCGGTGTGTGGGGAGAACTGACTGCCGCCTGGTCCCCCGGTGTGTGGGGAGAACTGATTGCCGCCTGGTCCCCCCGGTGTGTGCGGAGAACTGGCTGCCGCCTGGTCCCCCCGGTGTGTGCGGAGAACTGACTGCCGCCTGGTCCCCCGGTGTGTGGGGAGAACTGATTGCCGCCTGGTCCCCCGGTGTGTGCGGAGAACTGACTGCCGCTTGTTCCCCCGGTGTGTGCGGAGCAGCAGGCACGCCACAGCGCACCATTATCGTCAGCAACTCGCCGTCGGCGGCCGGCAAGGCGGCCACGACGGGCGGCGGCAAATTCGTCATCATGGGCGGATCGCGTCCGAGCACGCCCGGCCAGGTGAGAGGGCCCGCTACGTCCCGTGCTGCTATCCTCTGTAGCAGCCGGCGGCGCCCAAACAGGTGGGACTTTTCCCCCGGTTCCCTGGTTCTCCGCTGTATTCACCGATCCCTCCCATCTGCGCTCATATGGCTACGCTTTAAACCAGATGACGGCCCTCAGCAGGTTCCATTTCCCGATCCGCTCGGTTCCGTCTTCATATGACTTTATCCCATCCCTGCATTTTTTTCTCTCTCTCTCTCTGTCCCTCTCTCTCCCCTCCCTCCCTCCCCCTCCCCTCCCTCAAACTCCTCTTAATCTTTCCCCGCCTGTCTGTTCCCACCTCTTCCGTGCTTCCGTCCATGCCGATGTACTCTTCCCTTAACGATCGCGTGCCGCCAGTGTCTGCTCTGGTGATGACTATCGATTCTTGTGTCACTGTTGTCTTTACTTCCATGTTCTCCTGCTCTTTCCTTGCATCCATAGACCCCCCCCCCCCCCCACACTCCTCCCGCAACAGTCCTGTGACCTGTCCCTGTCCTGCTTCCAGTGTTCGGACAGTGACGATCCAGCTCAGGTCAGCCCCTGAAGGCGGCCAGTTTGGTTGGGCGCCGCGTTAGTGCGCGGACGCAGCGGCCCACTGGTATGCTGCCCGCAGGGCGCATCACTCCCGCCACTTCCCCGCACGGATGTCGGGAGATCTGAGCCCAATATGTCCCGGTGCCTGCAGCGCAAATCGCTGATGAATTGATTATTTGTATTGCTGGCAATGCTGATTCGAACCTAATTTAGTGCATCGAACGTTTCTTTGCATATAGCAAATTGGATGCGCCCCCGTTAACATTGCTTCCGCCCCTACCTTCATATGAGCAAGCACAGGTGCTCGACAGCGTGAGGCGCACCGGGCGCAGTACCACCTGCCCCTCCCCCGTCCCGCGCCCCGGAGCTGCGCTACGGCCGCTGGCGGGCCCGGCCGTCTGTCAGCGGCTCGGCTGCAGTCGGTGCTGTTATGACGAGCGGGACTTACCGGCCCGGCCGACCTGCCGGCGGCGCTGGGCCGCTGGCGGGCTCGGCCGTCTGTCAGCGGCACGGCTGCGGTCGGTGCTGTTATGACGAGCGGGACTTACCGGCCCGGCCGGCCTGCCGGCGGCGCTCGGCCGCCGCTGACGGCCGTTCGCCCGCTGGGCACCCCGACGGCGGTGCGTTTACCTGAATACCGCCACTCTCTGTTGCGGACGCTTCTCGGGCCGGATGTGGCCCAGTCCAGTACGAGCTGCGCCGAGCGGTGATGGGTCGTCTCGTGCCGTCGGGCCACGGCGGGGTCGCCTCCGCCGCGGGTCTTTATTAGCGTCGGGAAGTTGTGAAACTTAATTGCGGGGCGCGTGAAGCCCACGTGACACTATCTTCGCACTCCACTTACCGAACACCATCCCATTGCACTGTAATGGTGATAGCCCCTGACCAGTGGCCAGATAGCCCGGAACAGTGGCGCTGATCGGACGACCATACCCGCTGTGGTAGGCGCCTGTCAGAGATTAGAGTCCTGTGGTAGGCGCCTCCCAGAGATGAGGACCCCATGATCGGGCCCTAATCCCTAGGAAATATCGGTCACACCCGCTACGGTAGGTGCCTATTAGAGAGTAGGACCCCTGATCGGGCGGCCATACCCGCTGCGGTAGGTGCCTACTAGAGAGTAGGGCCCCTGATCGGGCGGCCATACCCGTGCGGTAGGTGCCTACTAGAGAGTAGGGCCCGTGATCTGGCGGCCGTACCCGCTACGGTAGGTGCCTATTAGAGAGTAGGACCCCTGATCGGGCGGCCATACCCGCTGCGGTAGGTGCCTACTAGAGAGTAGGGCCCCTGATCTGGCGGCCATACCAGCTGTGGTAGGTGCCTACCAGAGAGTAGGGCCCCTGATCTGGCGGCCATACCAGCTGTGGTAGGTGCCTACTAGAGAGTAGGGCCCCTGATCTGGCGGCCATACCCGCTGCGGTAGGCGCCTATTAGAGAGTAGGGCCCCTGATCTGGCGGCCATACCCGCTGCGGTAGGTGCCTACTAGAGAGTAGGATCCCTGATCGGGTGGCCATACCCGCTGTGGAAGGCGCCTGCTAGAGAGTAGGGCCCCTGATCTGGCGGCCATACCCGCTGTGGAAGGCGCCTGCTAGAGAGTAGGGCCCCTGATCTGGCGGCCATACCCGCTGTGGTAGGCGCCTACTAGAGTAGGGCCCCTGATCTGGCGGCCATACCAGCTGTGGTAGGCGCCTGCTAGAGAGTAGAGCCCCTGATCGGGCGGCCATACCCGCTGTAGTAGGCGCCTGTAGGGCCCCTGATCTGGCGGCCATACCCGCTGCGGTAGGCGCCTACTAGAGAGTAGGACCCCTGATCTGGCGGCCATACCCGCTGTGGTAGGCGCCTGCTAGAGAGTAGGGCCCCTGATCGGGCGGCCATACCCGCTGTGGTAGGCGCCTGCTAGAGAGTAGGGCCCCTGATCTGGCGGCCATACCCGCTGCGGTAGGCGCCTATTAGAGAGTAGGGCCCCTGATCTGGCGGCCATACCCGCTGTGGTAGGCGCCTGCTAGAGAGTAGGGCCCCGGGTCGGGCGGCCATACCCGCTGTGGTAGGCGCCTACTAGAGAGTAGGGCCCCTGATCGGGCGGCCATACCCGCTGTGGTAGGTGCCTCTCAGAGATTTGTGGCCCTACATATGCTACGATACGTATACGCGCGTATGCTCCACTTTTCTACGCGGGCACCCCTAGAGGGCATTCAGATAAATGTGTTCGAGTGCCTCAGGTGACAGTGCGTTATCATGCCCGCCGGTGGTTTGGTTCCTTAGTGTTTTTAAATAAATAGGTGTATTCGTTTTGACGTGATATTGATTGTTATTCCACTTCTTGTTTACTTTCAAGCTTCCGCATACATTTGAATGTTTTTGCATCGATGACTATTTTTGAACACGCGCGATATTTATTCCGTCATAAGTTTACCCTGTACGTGTTTTTCTGTAGTATGGAGCCATTTCGAATTCAGCTGCGAGCGATGGTACGAAATTTGAAAGGGAGAGACGTCTTCCATGTTGTTTTCTTTTTCATTTGGTGTCGCAGAGTCGGCAGGTCGCGTGTTTTTCCTTCAGTCCTCCACGGGCTCATAGCTGTCACAAGTTTATTGCAAACATATGTGGTCCCAGCCGTACTGCTTCTCAGGCAGATCACTAACCAATGTCATTCGTGTCGCGGCACTCTCGAGGAGGGTTTTTGCTATGTTAAGTTTCCTCTAGCGGCATGCCACGCCCGTCAAAGGTCTTGAGTTACCATTCCGCACCCCGCTATTGTCGGCCCAACACGCAGCTACCCGGCGTCGGAGTTGTGGCACGCATCGCCTGACGCTGAGACGTGTGCTTGCTCCGCAGCTGGGCCAGCTGCCGAAGGGCGTGTTCCTTATGCAGGACGACGCGGTGATGAGCGTCAAGACGGAGCCGGAGGCCAAACAGGACGAATGAGAGGCGCGCCGTGCGGGGCGCTGCGTCAAGACGGAGCCGGAGGCCAAGCGGGACGAGTGAGCCGTGCGGGGCGCTGCGTCAAGAAGGAGCCGGAGGCCAGGCGGGACGAGTGAGCCGTGCGGGACGCTGCGTCAAGACGGAGCCGGAGGCCAGGCGGGACGAGTGAGCCGTGCGGGACGCTGCGTCCCGCCAGATCACCTGTCGGCCGGTATACCGCCCGTCTCCAGCACCACCGGCCACTGAAGTGTGGATACACGCCCGTCTGGCCGAAGCCGGGTCACAGACTGAGGCGCCTGGGACGCCTGTGCCCGTTTCTGTCCCTCCACTGGCGTGGACCGACTGTGTCGGCGCAAGCAGACGCCGTTCAGACATGACGGGATCTTTTTTATGAAGCGAGTGCTAGCGTGTTGTCATGATCACCTGGTTGTTGGCACGTGTCGGCCCGGAGCAGCGTGGTCGGGGTTGTAGCGTGCGAGCTCGGAGTGCGACGCGCCGCCGTTGTACGCGATCTCTAGGACGGATGCGGCGTGCTTGCCGCCCGAGCGGTCCATTCGCACCACACCGAGGCGTGTTTGCCAGATTGCTGAGGCGTCGCACAGCCCTTGATCACAGTGTCTCGCAGAATACACTGGCGATATGGCGTTTCTGTTACCTGTCTCTTGGCGACCGGCTCTGGCTGAGCTTCCAGGAATCACAGATCGAGTGCTTGGCGTTGAGGGTCGTCGAGAAGCGCGCTCTCCTGCCGTTGAGGGGCCGCCAAGAAGTGCGTCCCCTCCGATGGGATCCCTGAATTCGGATGAACTGCTTTTTGTCCCTGGACGTGCTTGGCGAAATAAGCAGTTCGGCACAGCCTGCCCGTAGCGCGCCATTTTGTGTGTGCATGCTATAATTCCACCCGTAGTCGATATGGCGTGCGCGGCGTGCCACGGAGCATGCAGGCGGGTGGTTTACATGTGGGATGGTAGGGCGCGGCATAGGCGTGCTAAAAAGCAGTCGCTGGTGGCATGGCTGGGTTGCCGGACCTGGGTACAGGCGTATCTACACACCGTGCTCAGCAAAATGCGCCGATTTGTAGTATCTGTGATAGCAGTGAACAGTGTGATAGCAGCGCTGATTCACGATCAACTGCGATCTTCACATCCTTGGCAATGAGCAGTTTAAAAACGTCGGCGAAGGCGGAAACATGGCCAACAGCTTAGCAACTGAAGTTGCTGATAAAACGTGAAATCTGAAATCCCGAATCAGATTGGCCTCATGAAATCGTGCGGCAAGCTGGTGCGCTTTACTATGTCTTGTGCTCCCGCGCTGTTTTGGTACGTCAATGCAGCATATTATAGAGCGTGGATGAGCGTGGTGCTGAACGTTTGTGCCGCGGGCCCGCCATACGACCTCTGGTTACCTGTCGTCATTCGTTGGTCTGCTGCTGCCTGCGTCACCATCCGTTGGTCTGCTGCTGCCTGCGTCACCATCCGTTGGTCTGCTGCTGCCTGCGTCACCATCCGTTGGTCTGCTGCTGCCTGCGTCACCATCCGTTGGTTTTCTGCCGCCTGTATCACCATCTTTTAGACTGCTGCTGCCTGCATCAGGTCAGTGGGCGCGCTCATTCGCGTCAAAAGTCTGGTAAGTTCCACTTGCTGCGGTGAGGTGTGCTCCGTGGTGCTACTAGTAGCGCAAGCAGGGGGTGCAGGGGGCACGTGCTCCCCTCCCCTTAGGCGCCGAGGGGCCCGAAGGGCTTCTTGGAACCTATGATTAAGGACCCGATTTGAGGGCCCGATAGGCCGGCAGGAAGTCCAATTCAGGGGCCCCGGCCCACAGGGCCGGGCACGCCAATGCTAGCCAGAGCGCCTTGGACGCTGATCAGGGGCCCACTGGGTCGACAAGGGTCTATTTCGGTCAGACACCACCAGTAACGCACAGTCGGCTCCGTAGCCGCATGAACATAAGGGCCCATTTCCCAAGCGGGGACAAGGCTGGAGCCAGTGATTTACATTGCTCGGGGTCCCACAGCGCCTAACAGGAACCCTGTGTTGTCGAGGGGCCCGAGTCGGCCAGGGGCAATGTTCGAGGGGCTCAAGGAGCCTAGAGGGCCCACCGAGTTCGACGATCAAGGGCCCGATTGGGGGATGTAAGGGCATGAAGGGCTGGTCGGAGTCTTACTCGGGAGGCCGACATGCGAGGCGGACCCTCGAATAACGGTCAGAGGGCCCTTTGTACCCGTCGGGAACCCCTGAGTTAATACGGGCCTATACGTCGGTCCGATACCATCAGTACCGCAGAGCCGGCTCCGTGTCGGTATGGGCCTGCGGGCTCACTTCCCAATCAGCTATAAAGCCGGGGCCAGTTTTTACACTGGTCGGGAGCCTCGTATCTGTCAGGGCCCGCAGCGACTAGCAGAGAGTCCTGTGCTCGCAAGGGCCCGAGCGGACCAAGGGAAGTGTTCGATGATGCCCAAAGAGGGGCCCGGTTGGCCCACAGGAACCGACGATCAAAGGCCCGGATGGAAAGCATAAGGGCCCGAAGGACTGGCTGTAGGTCATATGAAGAATCGCAGCCCGTAGGGTCGTGACCTGAAATATCAATCAGAAGTCCTCTCGCACCGTTTGAGGAACCCCTGAGACAATGCGGGTGTCTAAGTTGGTCAGACCATGAACACCGAACAGTCGGCCCCACGTCCGCCGGAGCCCTTGATACCCATTCCCCAAGCAGCAATGAAGCCGGAGTCCGCGATTTGTAATGTTCGGAGTCCCTGACACAATAAGGGGCTCCTGTGCCGGTTAGGGGCCGCAATGCATAACAGGGGTCCTGTGGCAAGTGGCAAGTGGCCCCGGGTCGGAGCGGCGTATGAGGGGCCCAGAGAGGGACCGAAGGGTCTCTCGAGACCAGAGATCAAGGGGCCGATGCGATGACTGAAGGATCCGAAGGGCTGGCTGTAGATCACATTAGGGACCTCTGTCCCCAGGGCCGTGATCTCAAATGTCAGGGTGAGAGTTCTGGTCCCCGCCAGGGTGAGGAGTTGGTGACGCCATACGACCCCAGCAGCTGAATGCGTCACTAAGTCCCAATGACACGCCCGTTATCTCGGACAGCAAGGATAGCAATGACTCGAGTTGCAGTTTTCGTAAAACCAAACGGCGTTGGTCACTGCAAATAAGGGGCGGGCGCCCTGCGCGCAACAATGGCCATTGTAAAATAATGTTTCTGTATGCCTCCAAATTGATTCGTACGGCTGAAAGATTACACTGGGCGATTTATTTTGCAGTTCTTTGCGGACTGTGACTGCGAACTGCGACGGCAACAAGAACTGCGTTTCTGCGATTTCTTCTGACAGTCGCAGCAACACGAAAAGTAAAGATTTTACCTTTACTCTTCCAATTCCACCACCAGATTCGAGCACCACTTCGCCATGCTGTACAGACCAATACGTTATTGTCATCTGTCTGAAAACCGCACGGGTAAAATGTACACCGGAATATCTTTAAACGTGTGATTTGGTATTCAAAAGCGTTCAAATGTGTTCCTTTCAAATGCATCATCACTTTCGTCCACCTGCTGGCCATAGCCTAATGTCAGCCGCGAGGCAGAATTTGCGCGGCTGATGGAGACTGCAACGCATGGCGTGGAGGTGTTTGTTGCTAAATGCGGGTGCGCAAGCTCAAGACCACGTTAAATGGTTTGTAGCACTAATATTTCCTACTAAATGTCAGAAATATCAAGACAAACAAGGCTTGGCCATGTTAATACAAATTGTTGACCCATTTTGATCTTCATTCTGCGTGCGTGGAATCCTTGATTTCTGAACAAATCAGACAAATATTCTCACAAAGTTTCTGGGTTCTATCGGTTTAAAAGAGCCCATTGACCATTGTAAACTGAAGAGCGCCGGCGATCTATGTCGTGCTGTCATATAACGCATTATTTTTGCAGTTCATTTGCTTTAAATTCAGGGCAGAATTGACCTCGCGGTAACGTCTGATCTATATTCCAGTTCAAGAAGGTAAGCATAGGCAATATATATATATATATATATATATATATATATATATATATATATATATATATACTGTACATCATATCCAAGAACAACATGCCCTCCACATTAACAACTGGGCATTATTAGGCGAGTTTTGAAGGGGCCCTTTGTCACCCCTGTGCCCCCCTTGCCAAGGCTCTGGCTGCGCTCTTAGGTGCTGCAATGATGTTTTCAGTTAACGATGGTATTATTTACGATCAGTGATGACAAAAATTGCGTAAAACCCGCGTCATATCCTGCATCACCCAGTTGCGACCCAGTTATGGAGAAAGTTTCGGTAACTTGCTTAGTCCGTTATTTGCCGATGGTTGTGGGAATTGCAGTCCTCTATGTGTATGAGAAAGCAGTTCGTGTTTTTTTCATGATCCCCGCTCGCGTCAGATTGCCAAACAGACGGGGTTAACTCGCTGAATAGTACAATCCGATGCTATCTATCGGATGGGATGTCAATCGGATTGGTAAAACGCACAATAAAAGGCTTCGATCTCGTCTGGATTTATGTTTTTATCAAGCTACGTTTAAATCAATCGACGAAAACAAGTCTGCGCTCAGTCAGAAATAATACACATTAACCGTGCATCATTTTAATTGTAAGAATATCCTGATGGGCAGTCATCTGGTACGTAAGCAATGCATGATACGTGAAAGATTTCCTTTTTTGACTGCACTAGACCGGCTTAGTTTAAATAGATTCAGGCAGGCTTGAAGGAAATTCACGGGCTTGGAATGGGGTCCGTAGTGTGGACCCCATCTTTTCACAGGAAAGGCTTTGCTTAACAGATGGTGCCCTCAGGCATGACTGGGCGTATCGGGGAGGGCCGGGTATATACTGGGGCAGACGTGACTATAGCCGGGAAGGCCGGGTGTATACTGGGGCAGACGTGACTATAGCCGGGAAGGCCGGGTGTACACTGGGGCATGCGTGACTGTAGCCGGGAAGGCCAGGTGTATACTGGGGCAGACGTGACTGTAGCCGGGAAGGCCGGGTGTACACTGGGGCAGGCGTGACTAGCCGGGAAGGCCAGGTGTATACTGGGGCAGACGTGACGTAGCCGGAAGGCCGGGTGTACACTGGGGCAGACGTGACTGTAGCCGGGAAGGCCGGGTATATACTGGGGCAGACGTGACTGTAGCCGGGAAGGCCGGGTGTACACTGGGGCAGACGTGACTGTAGCCGGGAAGGCCGGGTAGGGTATATACTGGGGCAGACGTGACTGTAGCCGGGAAGGCCGGGTGTACACTGGGGCAGACGTGACTATTGCCGGGGAAGGCCGGGTGTACACTGGGGCAGGCGCGACTGTAGCCGGGAAGGCCGGGTGTATACTGGGGCAGACGTGACTGTAGCCGGGAAGGCCGGGTATATACTGGGGCAGACGTGACTGTAGCCGGGAAGGCCGGGTGGGTGTACACTGGGGCAGACGTGACTGTAGCCGGGAAGGCCGGGTATATACTGGGGCAGACGTGACTGTAGCCGGGAAGGCCGGGTGTACACTGGGGCAGACGTGACTGTAGCCGGGAAGGCGGTGGGTATATACTGGGGCAGACGTGACTGTAGCCGGGAAGGCCGGGTGTACACTGGGGCAGACGTGACTGTAGCCGGGAAGGCCGGGTATATA